TTAAACTGTCTACACTCTCGCAATATATGTACATATTTTGTTTGAAAATTTTATTCAGTCGGTGAATGCGCGTAATGTAAATATTTTCTTTAAATTTTAAAAGAAGCGGAGGTTTCAATAAAATCAATCTTTTATTTGGCGCACACATACATACCTATATATCTTTTGTTTTGCTTTGATTAGATGCAAATAAAATGTTTGGTTTTGCCGGTTTATATTTATCTCTCAAATATATAATAAATTTAAATTTGGAATTTTTAAAAGTATCTTTTATACGCAGCTTCACTGAGTGATGATTAAAATGATAATAACGATAAAAATATAAGTCAGTGTTTTTTTATTGTGATAATCTTTTCATTGTTAGATTTTGAAATTGAGAGAAGCAATAATAAATTATATAAATATTTTATTATAGAAAAAATTATATAAAATACCATGAAAATTGCTTTTAATTATTAATAAAAAGCATTTCAAGGCTATAAATTGCTAATTAAAAAGATGTGGACATTCTTTTATCACTGAATATACATTGAAGTGATTGATTTTATGTTGGCACAGTTTTATTTTACTTTTGTCACAATTATTGTTCTCTCTAAGTAAGTTACAAGAGATATTTTACTCTCCACAATGTTGGATCTTTATATAAGTTTTAAAGAATATATTATTAATAATAAAATGATTGTATATTATATTTAAATTGCAATTAGATAATTTGATTGCAGTAGAATCGCTGCGATGTAATATCTCTCGTTAAATTATTATTATTACGTTTTTAATAAAATGTGACGTTTCAATTTTTTATATCAATAATTGCAAGATATTTTTGATATTATATATGTTCATCAATTTTCATGGATATTTCAACGGGATAATTAGTAAAATTTATATTAAAATAAATAATAAAAAATTATCAAATTTTCTTATCAACAAGTATAAAATCTAAAAAAAAAACTTAGTAAAATGCAACGTTGTACGCATCAAGATTTATTAATTGTGAGATTTCAAGATTATATCGTGGATTACCGCTTGTTCGCTCTCTGTAGATCCAGAGTAAAGTCTTCAAACGGAATAATGAAAAGAGTTAATCTCGTTTCAAAGGCTAAATAAGAAGTACTTGGTTGCCCGCGTAGTTTGATAAACGGATAATTGTCGAAATCACGCTTCACCATTATTATTACAAAGTAATTCCAAAAAGATGCAAATTAATAGTAGGAAGATATTCTCTAATGAATTTCAAGTCAACCGCTTTCTTATATAAGAAATGTCGAGTCAGGCATAATTACAGCATTATTTAATTAAAATAATTAAAGAGAATTTTGTTAAGAAATTAATCTCACAAAAATTATTATACAAAATAAAAACAACACAATTCTGTAAAGTACAGAAAATCAAGTAATTTTAGATGGACTTTATTTTAACAGAAAGTTGTGACGCAATTATCTAAAATAAGAAATTTTGATAATTGTGAAATAATTCTTGCAGAATTATAATAAAAGTTGATTATATAAAATTATATATATAATATAAATTTTGCTATAAATATCCGACCTAATTAACTTTGTAAAAAAATATTCGATTTTCAATAAATCAGCATTTTATTGATAATGATTAACAATGAAAAATATTTCGTATATATTTACTGCGATATCAATTTCTATTAAACAAAATACCTTTTTCAACAGAACAATATAAAAATCTCATACAACTGCAAGAGAATCAAGCATTAAAGCAATGACGAGTTGTGAATCAGCTTTGCAAAATATATATATTGTAAATAAATGTATTGTAAAAATATTGAGAGGCTAAAGAGGGTTTTAACCCTCGATGATTTAACAAGCGAATTTTTCGCGTAAAAGAATGCATGAAAATATACAGTAAAGCTTTCACAAGAGATTTTCAATTTAGATGCCTGTGGGAGTAAGCGAAATGCGCACGAAAGGAAGGATAAAATCACCGATTGTGAATTTCACTGAAATAAATAACAATTTTGGCCCAGTTCCATGTTATACTCACTCGATCTAATGCAACTAAAAATCGTCAAATACTTAAAAAAAAAGAAAAGAGAAAAAAAAGGAAAAAAGAAAACAAGGGAAAAGGAAAAAGAGATTTACTTTCCACGTGCGCGTATAAAAATAATAAATAGTTTAACTAATCTGCGAGTTTTTTTCATGTAAAAATGCTTTTTAAGAATAGAGATCTGGAAATGTTTTGGATATACATAATTTTCAGTGATATAAATACAGACTCCAAGTTTATAATTTTATTTTCGCATTTAATTTAGAGACTTAATTACAGATATTTAAGAAATTTAAAATTGCGACTAACACTTTCTATTTTATTATTTATAATCTTAAATATATAATCGTGAAAGTCGCAATTTTTAAATTTCTTAAATATCTCTGTAATTAAGTCTCTAAATTAAAATGCGAAAATAAAATTATAAATATATATATATATATATATATATGCAAACGTAGCGCCTGTTTTGAAGAACACACGATGGCATAATGAAAATATTACCTTCAATGCTGTCTGACTCATCAACGGAGTGGATGACTAATGGGGTGTGTAAAATTTAAAAGCTCGCGTATGAGAGTGTCTGTCACTTTGTTTCGTTCGTCAATTCTTGGTATTTCAAAGACACGAGAATCCTTCCTTACGAATTTTCTCCTTGACGAGGAAGAGTTTTCGATATGCTTTCGCCAAGTAAGAAATGTAGGAAATTGAAAAGAGAAATGTCGCGTATCACAAACGATCTCATTAAGATAAAATTCACATATCGCACAAGTCTATATAAAGAATCCTTAATGAAGATGGTCTTGTTTTCTGCAGAATTGCGCACTTCCGGTTTCACTTCCCACTTGTATTTTCTTTAAATACTCAGGCTTTGCAATAATTAATGTGCGCTCGCTTTCGAAACAAACACGACATATTATTAAAGAAATTAATATAAACAGTTGATTCTTGCTATTTTCAGCTTTTAAAAGCTGGATCTCTCTCTTTTTCTCTCTAAGTATAATTTTAAAATGTTAATTGCAAAGTATAGTTAAATCCAGAGGTATAAAAAGAATGATAAAAATTAATATCGGCAAAAGAAGAGATCTAATTCAGCTACAATGGAATTGTAGAAAGACAAATTAGAATTTTTATACAGAACGTAAAGAATTTTCTATTTTTATATTTTCTATTTATTTTACATCTTTTCAAAAGGGAAAAGATTATATATATACATACTATTAGAGCAGATGAAATAAAGTGTGGGATTAAAATGAGTTTTTTTTCCTATAAATATACTTTTTATATCATCGAATATATATATATATATATATATATAAATATAATAATGAAAAAATGAATAATATATAATATAAAGAAATATAATATATAGATATATATATATATACATACACACACACACACACACACATACTATTAGAGCAGATAAAATAAAGTGTGGGATTAAAATGAGTTTTTTTTTCTATAAATATACTTTTTATATCATCGAATGATATATATATATATATATATATATATATATATATATATATATATATAAAGAAAAATGTATATATTAATACACAAAGGGCCGGTTGTTCCAACTTCTTGATAAGGTTTATCCGACAGATTGCATATTTTCGTCTCTTTTTTATAACTTATCTGAAAGAGACGAAAATATGCTATCTGTTGGGTAAAACTTACCAAGAAGTTGGAAAAATCGGCCCAAAATATCTCGGAATCTATACAGAGAGAATTTTTTTATAAAAATTATCTGGAAAATCATGGACGGTGGTATTGGAAGAATTTTATAAGAGTTTAAAAATTGACCACAATAAAACATATTAATATCTACATCTACCACAATAAGATATAAAATATGTTTGGTTAATTTTACTATGTATTTATTAACATTTTTTATTGTGACAAATTTTATTGTGACCATGATTTTTAGGCTAAATTTTAAGAGGAAATTCTCTCCGTGTAGTTGTAGAATATCCGGGGTCTACATCTTAATTATATAAAATTATTTATTATCTGTATTATATATTACCTATAGTATATTATATAAAATTATTAAAATGGGACGTGCATTATAAAATTTATACGAATCTATCACAGTCAGATTAACGAGATGTAATCTTTAAAAAACTGACAAAAAGCTATTTTTATCAACGATATAAACTAAATTCTTCCTCATTTTTCCGTATCTTTCCAAACACGCGTCATATGTCAAAAATGATCGACCGACCAATTTCAGGGTGTCCAACAGACTCAATGAAAAAATTCCTGGACTTTTTCAGATTTTCCAAGACCAGAAATTAATTTTTTCCCTGATTCTTTAGTATTATTTTTTCCAAATATATAATTTGCATATATCTACATAATAAATATTTTTGTCAACAACGAAAAGATTCGGAAGTAAAAAAAAACAAAAATTTAAATCAATTATACAATCTGCACTATGTACGATAATTGAAACAAACATTTAACCATAAACTATTTAAACAATCGCCTTTTTTATTTATAATATTCAAATTTTTTACTTTTATTTTTATCAAACACACAAATCAATTTTTAATAGCACAGAAAATCAGCGTGGGAGAGTCAAATAGTAAAATTCCTGACAATGCCCGATTTCGCTGACCGCTGGACACCCTGAGAATCTGTATCCCGTGACGTCAACATCGCGACGATTTCTTAATGAAAGCTCCGATTCCGGGGAAGAGACAATTCTTACGTACAACGGCGAAAAGGTTCTCCCTCGTCGTCTCGGCGCGCGAGAGGGTGGTAAAGAGCCAGGGGGATGAATGCCTACCCTCGGAGGTAGGGCAAGAAGAGGACGCTTGCGCTCCATGACCGCGTGGCCGCTTTCGAGCGGCCACCTGTGAGTCCACCCTCTCACTCTTTCTCTCTCTCTTTCTCCCTCTCGCCGTCTTTCTCTCTCCCTTTCAACCCCCATCGAAGGCACAGCGCGGCTCCCCATATATATATAAAGGGTCCCTCGGTATCGCCACACTTCGCATCATTACCGTCGTAACGTGCGAGCCACTCAATCTCCCGCTCGTCATCTGAGAGACCGAGGCTCAAGAATTCGATCGCGGTGAGTTCGACGATTTCTTTCGCTTTGCTCTCTTCTCTCCTGTGGTTTGTTTATTTTTTATTTTTTTATTTTTTTTTTGAGACTGATAAATATCTATATGCGTTCTTGTTGCTTCGAATTTGTTCTTTTGTTGCAACCCAATCTTTATATTTAACGTTGGATTTAATATTAAATAAGCTGAATCCACAATTAGATTTGTGTAATATGCAAATTGTATTTCTAAGTAATCGCGGAAAAATTAGATGGCATTATAAAGTAAAGTTAAATGTAAAGTTAGCAAGTGTAATGTAAAGTTTAAATTTAAACCTTTTTACCGTCGTATTTATCGTTACAATATCATCGTTATCATAATTACAAAGAAAGAAGTGTCATTGTGAAGAATAGAGATTATTTTGTCGATATTTATATTATTTTTTATAATAATATTACTTATAATAATTGACGAATTATTATAGTTTTTGTTTTGCAATATTTATAATAAATCGCAATAAAATGGTAATTGTAACTAATTTTATTTCTTGTTACTTTTGTTATTTTCGTTTGTTCTGCAAAACTCGTTTAAACGCACAGAAACCATCGTAAATCAGATTCCGTAAAAAAGGATTTTAGATCCAATTGTGGTACATTTTCGTTCCACGTTTTACTTTTTCTCTCGCAATCGTTACTCGTAAAAAGTGAAATTTTGTCTAGTAGATTTAATAAATATACGCCAATTTGTTTATCATTTATTTAACGATATTTACGAATATTGCAAATTTATAAAATGTATAATGCTCTACGATTTAATTTTGTTCAGTTAACGTTAATAAATTCGTTTTTTCCATTAGACCAAAACGATAATCGTTTATAAATATATAATAATCTCATATAAAATAATAATAATAGATAATAAAAATAATCGTATATAAATAATTAGAAATAAATGGTTCTACCGTTTCTTCTTACAATTTAATTGATTTTTATGTTTCATATTTATCGAAATTTATAAAATATCTCATGTGCAAGGAAAATATGGCATATCCATATATTTATAAGTTAATGCACATAAACGTTTCAGATATACATATTTTTGTTTTTCTGCAAAAGCTAAAGATTCATGATATGTATCGTAAAATGATATGTGTCGTATTAATTAGAATACACATTAAATTCACATTGTATCATTATTTTACGTAATTCAATGATAGCGTGTAATAATGCAAGATTAACAAGTTTTAAGCCAAATTTAACTCTGTTTTTCTTCAGTATTAGAATAATTATATACATTTCAGCATTATATTTTATTATGATATAATTCTGAAAAATATACAGAATTATTAGATTATATAGAATTATTATAAATTATTATAAAGATATATTTCCATAGATTTATATAGAAGACTGAAATAGTGAAAGTTTTCACTTAATAAATATTTAATTTAAGAACTCTTGAACCATTTTGTATAATTTATAACGTAAAGTTATAAATTTCATGGATAAAAATATTCCCAATAATTAATAACGGCATAATTATGAGGAATCTTTACACGTTCGAAAACAAAGATTATATTTTTACGTAAATGTCTCCATTTTTCTCTTTATCTTGTACAAAGTCAACTATTAGGATGTAGTAGCAAAGTTTTTAGCGCGAAACTATTATTTCGATACGATGGGAATTTAAATAAAAAAAAAGCTTTTGTACTCGCTATAAAAATTGAGTATGCTGCCTTTATGGTGTACGTAATCCATTGAAAATATATCGGTTGCGCAGTCATTATTGTTTTTTATCGTAACGTAATGGGTGATAAATTATTAACGTAGGTCAAAGGTATAAAACAGAGGACAAAGAAAGATTGATATCCTATAGCTGGATTATATACAGGCTACATGATTGGCTGGATATTTGCAAATTGCAGAATGATTTGATTAAACCTGTATGCATAATTATTTTCAATGTACACGCACATACGTATATATGTTACGTTATTGCACATTGTGTATATTACATGCGTTTAAATGCGGTACAAACATTGTTATATTGATGTTTTAAATTTTACGCTTGAAATTTAGCATTATTATATGTAACTTCGTGACAATATTTCCAATAGTTCGTTTATTCGACCGGATCCTTTGTCCGCTCAACGAAATTTCCAACACAAGTGTTTAGGGTCATTTATACAAATATTACACATACGAAATAACAAACTCGACTAAAAGCAACTCATTATACGGAGTTTGATGTGTTTATGCAGTCATTTCGACATCTGTCAAACGTCACGAGTCTTGAAAAATCATAAAATAATATTAAATAAAAAATTTTGAAATTTTGCTCTTTGTATATTATACCATTTTTACTATTAAATTTATTTTTAAAAAATATTTTTTATTTTTCATGCATTCTATTATTTTATCTCTATTATGCAATTCGCGAATTATACTTTAAGAATAAGTTCAATGTTTTCTATTTCATTATTAAATAATCGAAATGTATGTAAATTCTCTTTCTCTTGAATATTTATAGCATTTATTTTCGCAAACAATCGAATCGCAAATTTACAAATTTGTTTTTCGCGCACGTAAAATAATTTCTGTTACACGTCCACGTTTTTATCAAACTTTTCTACACACGTATCCACTGACAACGAGTGTTTAAATAAATACTGATGCCATTGTGCGTCTAAAATTCACTTAAAACTTAACACGTCACATTTGTGCACCTGATGTAATCAAAGGTCACCTGAGTGAACGAGTAGAGAGCTTGAAAATTTAACGGGACAGAAAGTAAAATTGTAGGAAGCGCAAATGTACCGATATACCTCGAGGATACACAAAGTATTCATTGCGTGAGTAAAAGCTTTTTCGAGATGATTCCAGAGAGAAGCTTTTATAAAATGTAGTTCCTCCGAATCAATAAATACAAGAAAATTGATTTATCAGAATATTGCGCAACAAGTTACGCGCTCATTAAGATGCTTGACTAATGATTAATTAACGCAAGAGAACAATTATCGCGATCGTCACCGGACTACGAAGAGTGACAAATTTTTTTTTTTTTTTTTTTTTTTTACGGTGATGCTTTTTCCGCTTGGTTACCGATACTGTTGATTATACAACAAGAATTTAATTATTCCTTCTTCTTGAACCCCGGCAAGTAAATTTATTAAAAGTCCTTGTAAGTGGTGTTGCGCGAGCAAAAAGAAAAAGTAGGCGAAGCAAAATACGATTTTACCATTTTCAGCGGCACGCGTAAATTATTTATTTATGCCCTTTAAAAGCCTGGAGCAACATCTCGAGGTAAAAGGATTCTGATCAATTACTACAATTATTATCTTGGGAAGCGTAGCAAGGTAATTGCCGTTGATCAAGATTGAGAAATGCGGACCATTTTCTTTTACACTAGTATATTATAATCTATTAAGAAGTTTTGGAATTTTTATCGTTTGCTTCTCGTGAGATTTTGGCCATTAATAATAAGAAGAATTTTACAAGTTATTTAAACACATTTAAAAAATACACACATTTCTGTGGAATCTTCCAAATATCCAAGAATTTCGAAGAGATTAAAAACGTTTATCTATTTTTTTTCTCCTCTACAAACTCGACTTTTTATGAATTATATTGCTTTAACAGGAGCTTAATTAAAATCGTGGTTATTGAGATTCAATGAAAAAAATTACGTGTTATTAAATTTTCAATAAAAACCAACTGTCTTCAAATTTATCGCAATATGTGCGGAGATTGAAAATCTTATGAAATCACCTGCATACATATTATATATATGAAATCGTGTTATGCAGCTGAGAAACGCATTCGCGCGTTTTAAAACAATTATGCATAAGCGTATATTATCGCCTCTATTCGGTACACATGTGTATACACGTTCTATATCGAATATCAACGAAACGATTAAACGGATTTACCTCGATAAATGCGGTGCGAGTAATCAGTATGTCATATGTTATAACGCGCCCATAGAATTGCCGATGAATTGAGATCGACAACTTGGGGATCGATCATATTTCGCGACTAGCATTTAGAATTGTCGTGACGTAAATGACGAAATTAAACGTAAATTATGTGGAATCTATGCGCAGTCAAAATTACAAAAAAAAATATCCGTTTGACAGAGAAATACTTTAAATAAAAAAAATATATATGCTGAATATACCGAATATTGAATGTTAAATACTGAGTTTAAAAATAAAATTTTCGAAGATATAAAATTGAAATATAATTGAATAAATTGTATTTAAAAAATTTTTGTATACCTTTTATTTAATTATGTAATTCATTACGTAAATAAATTTATAATAAATGATTTTTAAATTCATAAATGCAATTAGCGTTGTACTAATGCACAACATGTAAAACAAATATCACTATATTTCAGTGATCTTTCAGTGATGATTCTCTCGTTTATAAAAAAAAATAACATTGCATAATTTATTCATAATGTAATCTGTATTCTTGGATAAAAAATCTCGTCTTTAAATAAGTTATTGTTTGAATGTTAATAGTCTTTACATTAATAATCTGAGAATTTGTAATGAATCTTTCGAGAGAGAATGACAAGAGAATAAAAGTTGTATTTGCATTAATGTAATTTTTTATCTTGAGCAAACAAAAAAAAAAAAAAAAACGTAATACTCGTAAGATAAAGATGAAAAATCGAGAGGAAAAAAACTTGAGAATAATGTCGCATTTGTCGATGCGACGAAGCGACGAACCGCGAAATATCGTTACTTTAGGCTTTGTAATTCATTAAACAAGGTAATCCCGGAATTTCATATCTCGTTGGTCTATGCATGAATTTCACGGCCGGAAACGCAAATTGCACACGGCATTGGCACAGGTGTTACATATGGGCGAGGTGTCCTCTTGTTCCGTGGTCGCGCATTAATAGTGGTTATATCTCCGGATTACGCACACACGGTATATGATATAATACATTCGCGATGCCTGCATATATAATATATATCCTCATTCTGCGAGCCACTAATTTTATGTAGCGGTGCGCAAACTGCCCCAAATAATTTCGATATGGGGAGGGATCATTTTATTTTCTCTCACGTTTTTACATTGAAAACAATTCACTTCAAATCGATATAAAATATTTATTTAAATAGCATCGTTTTCACACACTTGTTTGAAACAAATTAATATTTATCTGTTTTGAGAAAGGATTTCTTGTATATCAAATAAATATTTTTCACGAAAAATCAATATTATTAGTTTCAAATAAATGATGTGCAAGAGTATTGAAATAAGTATTTATTTGAATACTTGAATAATTTGTTTTCAGTGTAATAATATTATGTCGCCAAAAAATTAACAAACATATTTCAAATAAATTTAATATGGGAGGGAGATGTATTTATCTCTGTCTTGAAAAAGAATTTCTTATATCAAATAAATATTTTTCACGAATAATCAATATTATTATTAGTTTCAAATAAATGATGTGAAAAGAGTGTTGGATATTTATATGAATAAGTAAATAATTTTTTTTCAGTGTAATAACATGTCGCCAAAAAATTAACAAACATTTGCACTTGATTCTATACCCCCAAATAATTTATATATGAGAGGGGGATGTATTTATCTGTCTTGAAAAAGAATTTCTTATATCAAATAAATATTTTTCACGAATAATCAATATTATTAAAGTTTCAAATAAATGATGTACAAAAGAGTGTTCGATATTAATATGAATAAGTAAATAATTTTTTTCCCGTGTAATAACGTCGCCAAGAAGTTAACAAACATATTCGCACTTGATTCTACAGGATAATCCGTGCAAGTCGTTTCGCGGTAGACACTTCTAAGGAGAGCCATAATTATAATTCTGATGAATTATTCAAGAAACGCGGGGGCTGATGGCTTTTTTCTATTCCCTGTTGCACTCGTGCCATTACATAATATAAATAGTAAGATAGCTGTGACTGGATACTACCGGGCACCACATAGAAATATATGCCTCGTTAATATTTTAACTTTGATTACACCGATGACATGACCCCTTGTGACTTGAAAGCGTGGGTGCACTTCAGCTTCATGCTCGAAAATAAATTGAACGACTTCTTCGATAAAATTCGAAACGTTATTTCTTATCTATGAAAAACCTAGTTAAATTCGTCCTATGCGAGAAATTCATCAATGACGACGTATTGACGAAAAATTGTCTTGAATTTTTGGTAAAAATTAAAAAAATTAATACACACACTATATCAACTCTAAAAATTGAGAAATCTTTTGATGAACGATGGAATAATTTTTTTCAGTCTTTTAAGACCAAACATCGATTTTAAAAAATGGCACAGAATTATTATATACAGCGTATATAAATTGTTTTTTCGTTAAATATTTAATTTTTTAAAAGTATTTACAGATTAAAATGTCCCATTATAGTATGCGACTATAAATTTTACATTATTCATTCATTCTTTTATTTTTATCGTCGTGATTTAAACATCTCCCTTCAAAATAAAAATTACGAAAGTAGCATTTTTTAAGAAAAAGAACGAACACTAAAAAATTATTAAATTAATAAATATTTATTTCAATACTGCCTTATTTATTGAAACAAAATATTTTTTCACATTAAATCAATATCATTAGTTTTAAATAAATGATTTATAAGGCAGTATTGAAATAAATATTTACTCGAATTCAATAAATTTTTTTTCAGTGTAGTACACATCCGCAACGATGATAAGAGATCCAAAAATAATTTCTTAACTAGCTAGGCAAATTATACCTTTTCTCCTTATAATTTTCCTACAAATAGGGTCTTGATTCGGAATTCAATTTTAAACACTCGTATAAAGAAACTAGATTCTGCTAAAATAAGTACAATAACATAGTGAATTAATAATGTCGATTTGTACATAATTAACATAGTAGGACACACGAATTCACCAAGAGAATTCTCAAAATAAATATTAAATTTCGGTGGCTCTTTACAACTGGAGAATCATTTAGTGGAATGTTCTTCGCGATAAAATTATTACAACGGCACTTGGGAATTTTGCGTTTCTAAAGCTTTTATAAGGTTTCTTGTACCATCGGGATGTTATTATTCAACAGCAAAGTTTGTTCTTGGCGAATGTTAACGTAGACGGACTTGAATTTATCTGTGTCAAACGTTTGCCGACGTTATGTCAGAGAAGTATTATGTAATTTTTCGGGGGCTTCATAGTAGCTCACCTTGCATAAGAAACATCCCTTAGATATAGAATAAGACTCTGCGCATAATAGAAAAAATATTAGGAATAGGAATTATTTTAAAACAAATAATTGAAAAAACTGATATAACAAATATATACAAATTCGGATTTAAAAGGGCTCTAGTTTATTAGTCCTCTATATCCGAATTTGTATTTTTATATCAAAGTCTCTTGGACTTTATTATTTTAGAATAATTCTAATTCCTAAAATATTTAATATTTATGCTTAATATTTGTTTCTATTGTACGCAGGGAATAAAAGAGACGAAATGATATACATTGTATTTTATCGCGTTCGAGTATTTATTTTCACGGCGTTATGCTATAAAGCATCGTTCTTTGCGTTGCGATTAGATAACACGTGTCGAGACACATGTGCGAGCTTACTCGACAGGTGAAGCTCGTTGAAAGATTAATAAAGCTTGATCAAGCAGGGAAAATACATCGGAATTTGCTTTTGCTTGATTACAGAGGATTTCCGAGCACCATGTACGTTAAACGCTGCTGCGCCGCTCTCGTTCTTCTCGTCGTGACAGTCGGCCTCGTAAAAGCCACCGAGAATTACATGGATTACGGAGGTAAGTCACATGTCACATCACGTCAAATTTTCAAATTCCTGAAATTTTCAATTCCCTCGAATTCGATGAAATTGCCGCGAGAAACTGTCTTCTTCCTCTTCCTTAAAGATTAATGTCAATTTGATTGACAATGATTAATTGCGAATTAATTATTAATGGAAAGATAATATCAATTTGATTGATAATCGATTATTAATACACCCTTCCTACTTTCTTCGTTTTCAGATCGAAAGCTTAATATATACAAATCGAAAATGATTGATTTTTCTTACTATAAATTTTATTATAACTAATTTAAAATTAATTCGAAAAAATCGAATTATTGCTGACGAAAGACTGCATTGATTTTTCAAAAATTATCTGATCCTACTAACTGATACGATGTTGAACGATATTTATAGGATTTTATTTCTTACTATAATTTTATTAACAATTTAAAATTAATCGAAGAATCGAATTATTGCTGATGAAAGACTGCATTGATTTTTCAAAAATTTTCCGATCCTACTAAAACTGATACGATGTTGAACGATATTTATAGAATTTTATTTCGCGGAAAAGGGGCTGAAACTTTGGATGAGCGACTACATTAAATCAAATGCATATTTAATATTAATTAAGAACTGTAATTTTATTTGTAGGAAAATGCTGACAATTTAACAGATTAAATCTTGAGTGGGAGGGAGAGAGATTAATCCCAGCAGCTGAATCCCTATTAAATACTATCACCTGCGCACTAGAACTATATGTACTTATGAATTATTTTCTTTTATCTTTGTTGAAATAACTTCTTTGACACTCGCAGCTGTGAAATCCGCTCAATTCTCATAATTATTTCTCGCTCTTCCAACGTAACTTCAAGCTTTTTTGAGCTACTCTCTCGCCGAACTGTAAGTCTCATTAAAATTTTACTCTCACTTGGCATGATAACGTTTTCTATGTATTCCATTATCGCTAATGCCACGTATCAACGCGAGAGTAGTAAGGTTCCTTCACTACAATAATTAATGATCACGAAGAAGGATGATTAAGTCGCCAACCTCTAGAGATAATTATGACAAAACATAAGTCTAATTTAATCTTTTTATTGTGTTCGTTAATATATAATGCCTAGCTAATATATCTTGTTATATATTTACATGAAATTATTTTTGCATCTTCACATATTTTATCTGTGTAATTTAATTTATATATCACAATTCCATATCATAATGCGCAAATATTTCACAACTCGCAAGTTTAGTATATTCTGCGACTTAAATAAATTATTATAAAATATAATATTAAGATATCAGTAGAGATATATAAATAATTAAAAATGAAAAACATTTAGTGAGATATGTTTCAAATAAAAAATCCAGTTCTCTTCCACAAAGAAAGAAAAAGAGTGAAACGAGAAGAAAGAGAGTTTATTAATTTTAATAAAAATATTTCGAGATATTTTAACGATAGATTAATACGTTTAAAAATTAAATATTATAATTATTTAAGTGAAAAAATTGAGTTGTAAAGTTCGAAAAAATTTAGGCAACAAAATTACAAAAATAAGAATAAATTTCAACATCATTAATATTGATTACGAAAATAAGAGAATATTAGGAAAATATATTATTTTTAAATCAATAGAGATAATTTTAATTTTCGTGACATTAATTGCCATACTCGATCAATGCGAATCAAGAGTTGACATAGGCTTCAAAATGCAGTCTTTTATATTTGAAGCATTCATTCATTCATTCATCTTCGTTTATTGACAAACGCGATTATGTGATCCGCAGAGATTAAATATTATTAATTAGAGATTAAATATTATCCTGTATTTCGGACATCGATCATGCCACGTGTCGTCATTTTTATCATTGTCCTAAACTCGAGGACGCGCGATCAATCACAAACCTACCCATTCAATAAAACTCGCCCGTAAGAAGGTCATGTTTCTGTGACGTAACAATCTCCTTCGCAAAATAACGTCGTCACAACAACGTCGTCACTCTCGGCTGAGTTATCCCTTAGGATCTTTTTTATCGTTACACAGGCATCCGTGATCGATACATTTCAATCGTGTGGCGACTCCTCATGCATGGCCGGATCCGAATATGCGCGATATTTTCCCGGCAAAAGCGCTCGATCGAGCGGCACAAACTTCGATGTTACTTCCGCTTGGTTGTATAATTTAGCATATGTATATTTCGATTAATCATTTTTTTAAAATTTATTATTCAGAGAAGAGAAGCGTCAGCTTCTTTTCTTCTCGAGACGATATATTCCGCAGTTTCGATGTAATATTTATCAAGGGCTGATTGAAAAAGCTATTATTATTTGCGAAGCGGGATATTTAATAAAACACGATTTGCATTTTTGTATGCAGAAAAGGCAACTGATTGCACCATGATAGTCAACAGGTGTGTCGAACGACCCTATCTATATTTAAACTCGCGCTGTCGATTTTATTTATTTATTTTTCTTTTTTTACATTAATTGGCAAAATGTTGTAATTTTGCAGTAGATCCTTTTCTGATATTTTTTGCGATTCGTATTTGAGTTTCTCTAGAAAATGTCGGGTCGATTGTGTGCACGAGCGTTGCGGTTTTCGATAAAAAAAACCACATATGTTTTACATTCGCGCCCCGTCGCGCTTTCGAATTTTATCACGCAAGTTTTTCACAAAGTTAAAAAGTGCCTGTCCAATCGGAAAATGGTTATCTGTTTGCCTTTGTGGGATATCGAAACGCGGCGGGAAAATACTGTCATCTGTATTCTTGTAAGGTCGACACGTACTCCGTTAAAGTACAAACGTCGCTTTTTATTTTTATTTAGGGCCGGTTGTTTACCAATCTCTTGGTAAATTTAACCTGACAGATAGTATATCTTCGTCTTTTTTTTAAATAAGTTTTAATAAAAAAAATACAAATGCTATCTGTCGGGTAAAATTTACCAAGAAGTTGGAACAACCGGTTCTTAGTCTATATGTACGTCCATTTTTTATTTAACATAAATATAAATTAATTTTAATTAATATTAATTTATAATTAAATTTAATTAATAATTTCGAAGTTTGTGCTCTCCGGTATTTTAATAAAATAAAACGACAAATAAAAATTAATACAATTAAAAAAAATTTTTTTCTCCATTTTTATGTAAATTCTTTTCTCTATCTATCTGTATGTTATGTGCGAGAGAAACGATGTAATGTGCATAAAAAGTAATTCTCCAGGAGCTTTATGATTAACAGTAAAGCTCATCGTTTGAAATTTCAGTTTTCATTACCTTTTAAAATTTATGAGAAACTATCTTGTCTATATAATCTCGTAGAGATGGAAAACTTACAAAAGAGCTTTATATATCATTATTTTTCCTTAGAAGAGGTGAGATTGATATTATATGTATAATGAAAGCGCCAATAGTTGTGAATACAATGTAACGATGTACACCTATGTGATAAATGATATAACGGCTAACGTTAACATCGTCGATAAAATATTTTTTTTTATATAAAACGATCTATAATAAAAGTAAATAATCGTTATTACGATGGTATACGATATATAATGTATACCTGTATGAACGTCCACCAATTCGTATATTCCTTATGCTCTTTCATACGGAGAACGCTACTTATCGTAAAGCATTTTAATGTCGCATAAAATGGACGTACTTGTAAAGAACGTCATACTTTCTTTCCATTTTCGCATAAAAGATGGATGCGCGCACACTTGATTTACATTTTGTCAGAAAGAAGGTGCAATGCCTGCATCAGACCATGTGGGAACATCATAAAGTAGCATTTCAGAGATCAAGTTTCAGCAATAATTAAATATTTTTTATTTCCAGAATTTCAAGTTACATAGATATCACTGAAAAAAATGATAAATTAATAAATATTTATTTCAATATTGCCTAATAAATTATTCATTTAAAACTAATAAATATTTATTTGATTTGAAAGAGATTTTCTTATGTCAAATAAATATTATTCACATCAAATCAATATTATTAGTTTTAAATAAATGATTTATATGGCAGTATTGAAATTAATACTTTTTCGAATTCAATAATTTTTTTCGGTGTATTAATCACGACGAAATCTACATACAGAGCATTTTCTTTTAGAATTTATCCTGAAAATTATGGCAATCGTGAGACAATTGGATGAATTTTATGAGTTATGTAATCAGGTGTGCGCGGATCCATTTATGAGAATTTATAAGAGTTTCTCGAATTAATATTTACCACAATAAAATATTAATATTTACTATTATATAATATATACATACATATATTAAATGAATTGTTTTGTTGTGCTAAATATTTAACAGAGAAACTCTTATAAAATTCTTCCAATACTATATTGTCTCACGATTCACGATCATAATTCACATCATTTATCATATACGGATACATCGTTATATTGTATTCAGAATTGTTAGCACTTTTATTATACATAATATCGATCTCACCTCTTTTAAGGGAAAATGGCGATATGATTGCCCAAGTTATAAGCTGACGTCATTAAATGTCAAAATGACATTAAAATGTGGAAAATCGATGATAATGCCCAAATAATAAACGGACGTCATTAAATGTCAAAGGAACATTAAAATGACGTCATTTGACGTAAAATGACCTACTGTTTGTTTGATCGGGAATATACATATGTTACAGAAGAGATGGCGGAAAAACGCCCGCGGAACCCATCCATGAGTTCTACAGGCTTCTTCTGTTACGTAATGCGCTGGATAACACAGCTTTCGGTGGCATCCCGTTGGAGCATTTCATGATTCGCAAGTCGCAGCGATCACCATCGCTGCGTCTTCGATTCGGTCGTTCCGGACCGCACGCTTCCGTAAGTTTTTATTGTTTTTTTATATATTGACAGATTTGCATAAATCTTATATTTTTATAAAAATAAACTTTTAATGCTTAAACTGTCTTTACGAAAATGTTGCTGATTAAACCACGCAAGATTTCATCAGAGAATATTTCATGAATCTTCAATGAAAATACTCTCATACTTTTCTCATCCGTCTCTTGTCTTATTGATATAATAATAATATTTCACTAAAATGACAATAATAATTGTACATGTGCAAGATATAGCTTTTAAAAATTTTTTAATTGTATTTTGAATTGCAATTTTTTAGAAATTCCCACACAACATGAAACTTATTATAAATTTATTTTATATACTATGATATTAATATGCAATTTCAAAATACCATTAATTAAGAAGTTAATCACTATCACTAACTGAGTCCTTTAATAAAATTTCACTGATTTATCGCGCTATAATTATAATTAACATCATCAGTAATTATACATTGCTTTTCAATAATAATATACTAATTTTATTTAAGAGATTGACATAAAATCATCATAACAAAACATAAAATCTCATATATCAACCATGAAGTGTTTCATCTCGAATTCCGTGACATGTTACATATGTATCTCTAAAAGAAAACTATATGAAATAGTTATAAAGAACCTTTTTATCTTTAAAAAGATTTTTTTTATTTTCAAAATTATGCGAGCTCAGTTTTGAAATTGATGCGATGAAATACACATGTCTCAAAATCTCAATATGTAATTTCTGTCTCTGATATGTTTTACACGAACTTTAAGAGGGATGGATGAAACATTACATGTTTTGTATTATACAAAGACAGGCTATCCGATATTTAGATCTTAACTCTAAACTAAACTTGGCAAATCTTGTTGTATGTTCTATAAGATACTCTTAACTAAATTTATAATTTTTTATTTACAGTTAAATTATGATTATAAATTCCTAAAATTTGGATATATTTACATTAGTTTTATGTAGCAGAATTAAATATTAAATATAATGAAACTCATGTGAATATAAACTCGAATAAACTCATTGTATTTAGCTTATTTGAATTTATATTTATATTATAGACTTACGCAATTTTACCGTCCAAATCATTTAAGTTAATTAAACATACACTTCGATTAAAATATTAACGTTCCATCTAAATATTTATTAAATCTTATATTCATCACTTTGAAAAATATTTTTTATTTTATGCATTTTGAAATTATTATTTCCATCCGGACATTTAAATAAAATAAAATAATTATTTAAGTAAAATTAAAGAAAATTTAACAACCATACAAATATACAATCGATCGCAAAGAGAATAAGTTATTTAATATTAAACAAATTAAAGAAAATTCTGTCGTAATTTAGTAACACATGTTCAACATGTTGGCAACAACGAATATTTTCTTCTGAGGTAAATACGTTTATTTTGCCCGACTTACGGGATTACTTCTGTCTCTCGGAGTGCGCACAGTTTAATTCGTAATGCTTTCGCGAATCCCCTTTGCATTCTAATCTTAACGTGACTCGTATTCCCTCGCGAGATTAATTTTCTCGTAATTAGCGAGAGTGAAGCGACTCTCGCGGAACAAACCGCAGTCGCGATGCATGTGCATGCCACGTTTCGTCTCGCAGGAGCCAGCACGACAGGGATCATAACGCGGTAATTAGAAAAATAAGGAAATTGAAACCATCCCTTTCGAAACTGAGTATTATATTTCGATTGTTTTAAAACAAGAAGCTGTCAGACGAAATTACAATTTTATCGCCACGAATAGAAACTATTATAAACGATTTAATTTAAAAATCATCATAATTTAGCATCGATTGTCCATTAATAAAAATTCATAATTATTTAATTCAATTGTCATTCTTTTTTTTAACAACGTTATTTCCATTGTATATGTATATTGTCCCGATTTTATTTATTTTATCGCTATCTTAAGAGGCCGTTAATAAACCGCCTACATTTTTCTAAAAATAATAATTTTTGTTTAAGGTCAATTTTGTAAAATTCTTTTGGTTTCGTGAAAATATAGAAAAATACTGTTTGAAATATTTTAATATTATTCCATAAATAATTTACCTTTTAGCATTGGTTAATGTTGTCATTTGCGCAATATATCTATAAGAATACTTCAAATTTGTCATATGCATATTTCAAAGAGATGAGAACATGATGAAAGTAAGTGCGGAAAAAACTCTCGCTTTGAGAAAGTCTTTACATATACACATATTAATTCATATATATTTAACGTTTCTCTTTTAATAAAATGCCAAGATAAATATTCAACGAAGCAAATTCGTTTCCTTTTAACGTGCATGCATTTTAATATAAGGAAAAATGAGCGAATTACGTTTTATACAAGATATACGTATATTCATATACTAAAAATACATAGGTGCGTTTCGCTTATCATTATGATATACATATGTACTCAATTTGAGAGGAATGCAATTTAATGTATAGAATCCACTCACGCGCGACTCTAGGGAGCATGCGTTTTAATAAATCAATTTTACTCATCTTTTATTTCAACTTTAAATTTTATTTATTTTTTATGAAATATTTCGCGTCATATTACATATGGAAATATATATGCATGAGCGTCTAAAGGGGAAAGGGCAAGAGAGCACACTGAAAAAAAAGTTTGTTAAATTAACAAATATTTAGTTCAATACGTTCAAATGAATCATTTATTTAAAACAAATAAATATTTATTTGTTTTGAAAAGGATTTTCTTATATCAAATAAGTATTTTTTATATTAAATAAATATTTGTTTCAAATAAATGATTTATTTAAACGTATTGAACTAAATATTTGTTAATTTAATAAACTTTTGTTTTCAGTACTAAAACTTATTTACATATTTAATAAAAAAAATAAAAATAACAAAATAACATAAAAATTAAATTTAAAAGAATTAAGAACAAAAAATAAGAAATAACAAGTTTTAATTACGTCCTTCTATGGAAAAGTTCTGCGGACGCCCATGTAATATATGTCTTATAATTTGTAGTACGTTGCCGTTTAAAAGCTAGTCGAGGAAAGAGCAGATACATTTTCGTCTTCAAAAGCCTGACGGAATAACATTGTGTCGCCTTGTGCTCGACGAAGCGTACGACCTTTTTCTAACAAAGGTACATTGTCACGTCTGTATGACGAAGAGAAGAGTTTTTCCTGCGGTTGGTGTGACATAGATATGTGCCAAAAAAAAGTAGTAATCTTGTTGAACGTAACAGAAATGCCAAGGAGAGAATCGACGGTTTTTCAATAAAAAAAAAAAAAACGATATAAAAAAATTATTAACATCGATCTTTATTTAATAACTAGCAAAAGAACATATTTATATATAAAAAAAAAATATTCTCTTTCTTTCTCTGGCATATTTTTGTAATTTTTCGACTATTTGTCTTGGACATTTATTTATAGAGAAGATAATTATGCACATGTTTTTCAGTAAATTTTAAAATAAATTATAAAAGCGATTTGTTAATTTTTTAATATCAATATTAAATTCTTTCGAAGCATGTTCTATTTATTCTGTACTTCTGTAAGACTTATATTTCGCTCTCGTTTTTACTCGCGCAAAAAAATTAGCGGTGAAGAATCAGTGATTTTCAAATATCTCGAAATTACTAGGAATAATTTAATAAAACGAGTTTAAATTTTCCATCAAAGAGGGATTGGGTTCTTCTCTAAAGTTAAGTCAAGTTTACACGACTTGGATGATGTGTTACAAAGGGGAGAACCTCTCTTCTCTTGTTCAGTGAATTTGGCAATTATCTCCTGTTTCGCAAAAAGTCCCCCACCAAATTGTTGGCAATCACGACGACGATGATATGACAAGTATAAATTTTCGAGAGTGATGTAACGCATTACTGGAATTCTTATCTGTATTAGCAAACCATCAGCGATATCGATCTGTCAGCGATTTGACAGGAGACACTTATATTTCCTTCTTTTTTCTAAAATAATATATTGCTCGCATTTATATGTATATTACACACTAATAAAATGATATATCATTAATAAATAATAGTGTTATATAATAAATATATATAATATATATAATAAATATATATAAATATATAAATATATATAGATATATATAATAAATATCATTAATAATAGTATTCAATCGTAAAGTCCTGCGCACAATAGAGAAAATAAGGAATACATATTAAATATTGGGGGAAAAGGAATTATTTTATTTCAATTTTATTTATTTTAATTATTTTATTAATTCCTAATGTTTTCTCTATTGTATACAGGGTCTAACAATAAGTATATAACACTAAAAATAGTGAAATTTAATTGAAACCGGAGAGACTCAGTTGAATGGTTGATTTTTCAGTGAAATATTTATTGATCTTTGATGAAATCTTATTACTGCTTTTATCAGTGATATTTTCACTGATTCAGTTTAAAAGAGCATAGTTTATCATAATATTTCAGCAATTTGAGAGACACAAAGATGCTGTCTCATATATACGTATGCAAAATCAGGTAGATTAATCAGAATAAGAATATTAATTCGAATAAATTACTGAAAATATTTTACATGTAAGTTATATTAGAATAATAAGGGGGAAAGATATTTCGCTATGAGATAAAAATTGGATACCATTTTCTCATTCAATCGCGCCGCACAATTTCTTCCCTCTAATAAGATCGTATCAAGTGTTATTTACATTAAGGAAAGCTTCTTCTAGATTCTTTATACAAGCCTCCCCTTTACAAGGTCTTCCCAAATTACACTCAATTGTCGATCTTTTGCCAATTGACTACACGTGTATATATTTTTGATCAATAATTTCTTGTTTTCTCTTGTTTTTGATCAAATAATTTCTTCTTTTCTTTTTCTCGTTTTTCTTTGCATCGTTAAATCTATATCGAATAATCGCGTATCGATTTTATATTTTATTCTCACTTTTGATAGCATTTCTCTCTTGTCAGATTTGTTAGGGGCTGCGCACAATAAAATAAATAAAAAACAGGGAATAGAGAACAGTTCAATATAAAACATATGACATATAATTTGTAACGCAAATTAGAGAAACAAAGGATTAATGCTAAACTGAAATGATGGAATTTCTTTATTCTGCATTACTAAATTACATTTCATGTTTTATATTGAATTGTTCCCTATTTCCTGTTCATTTTTTTATTGTGCACAGTCCTTAAAATTGTATATTTTAATGTGTATATATAACACAAAAATAATCGCCAAAAAGTTTTAATCATGTTCATGAATGTATAAATATACATGAACCAACAGAGAACTTATATACTTTTATTTTGCTTGGCATATATCTTTTAGTTTTTAAAAAAATGATTAATTCATCGTTTTAATGAAAAAGTTAACATATAATTTGTTAATTCTTTTTAGAGTTGCTCAAGTTAATTTTTGATGATTAATCTACATATAATATACAGATGTTCTGTATGTATACATGCAATATACACTCACCGATATGATGCGTAACAGTGAAGCTCTATAATACAAAGTGTTGATCTGTAACATGTAAAAATACAAATTATACAAAATAATTTTCAAAACAATTAGTATTTGACAAAGTCAATAATATATTTAATAAAGTTACGTCATAAAATTTTTAATTATTTTTTAGATCTAAATTTATATAAAATATAATAAAATTTAATTGGTTAAGTTTTTAAAAGTTAAATAATTATGAATTGTATAAACAATATTAAAATTATATACATACATATACATATATAATAAAATTTATTATTAATTATCTAATTATAATAAAGTTTAATGTAACACTTTTATTTTTCTGTCACATTACTTTAATTACACCATGTTTATTTTTTCTCAAATTATTTTGTTCAATTTTATTTCAAATTTATTCTGATTATTAACATATTTTCAACTTTATTTTAATAAAAATTTAAATAATAATAAATTTATATAAACTATATAAATTATATAATTATATAAATTATGTATATATAATTATATAAATTATGTATAAATTATAGAAAATATATATTTATACAATTTATTTATATATTTATATAACATTAATTTATATAAATTTGTGTTAATTACAATCTAGTTACCACATGGTTGCTCGATGCCTTCCCGGGCTTCTTCTTCTCTTTTCTTTTGTTCGGACTTTTAGCGTCTTTTTGACACTTACATAGCACATGTTCGCGAAAATAATTACGCGCATTAATCAGCAAAATAAAGCAATCGCACGACAATTTGAACAATTCGACACTCCCGAGGTTAATCAACTCTATACGGAACTCCAATTTTAATCGCGCGACTTTGTGCAGAACTCCCAACATTAATCGTACTTTATTTTCATATTTCGGCACTCCCGCTTTTAATCGTACGTATATTTTGCATACTTTTGCTAATTATATGCGACGCATATTTAAAACGACACGCGACAATTATAATTATACGGAGCTACGATCCGCGAACTTTACGCGGGATGTGATGCCAACTGTCGCGAAATACGCGGGAAGTCGCCGCAGTGAGACAAACTGTGTAATTAGAAATTATCGATCTTTCGATAATCGATCGATTAATCGATCAACATCATGGCGCTTTATTTGACGTGCTTCGAACAATATTTTGATCGATCAGAGGAAATATTTTCCTCTTGCTTTTCAGAACAATTTTTGAAAATCGAAACAAGATATAGCGCGATTCATTAAAAATCATCTAAATTTACCAGAACGCAATTAAAAAAAAAAAATTAAGAAATTATACACAGAGGGAATTTTTTCTTAGAACTTACCCTGAAAATCATATATAATATAAATCAATATAATTTTATAAGAGTGTCTGATTAATATTTACCACAATAAAAATATTAATATCTATATACCACCATAATTAAGATATAAAACATATGTTGGATTAATTTTATTATATACATATTAATATTTTTTTATTATGGTAAATATTTAATTAAAAAGGTTCTTATAACATTCTTCTAATATAGAAAATTATAGAAACATTTATATGTTTTATATTAAACTGTTCCCTGCATACCCTGCTCCTTATTTCTTTGATTGTACGCAGCTCCTTACAAAAGACCAATAAAGACCACCTTTTGTACGGGCTGAATACTCTCTTCGGCTTCGCTCGGTGTTAAACTCGGGCCAAGTGAATCGCGACAGCGCACAATTAATTGGATTTTCACGAGCAATTAAGTAATTAGTGGTGTGTTTCAGGCGTGGACCCTGCCGAGACCCGCGGGATACGACAACAACAATTAATCGGCGAAGCTGATCGAGACACCTTTCCAATTCGTTCTTGATGAAAACGCGACTACCCTCTCTTGTATAAATTATGCATAATTCGCGTCTCACGTGCGCGTGTGCGTGTGCATTTGTGCGTACGTATGTGTGTGTGCAAGTGTGTGTGTGTTTATGCTTTTTGTTAGTTGACCCTTTCACGTCTCTTAAAAAAACTTAAAAAAAAGAGAGCGAATCCAAATAGCAAACTGACGTCAAAATGATGTAATATTTGTTATCTAGGAAGCCAATGCGACGAAAGCTAATTTTTTCACAATTTGCGTGAAGAAAAAATATTGTGCACCTTTTCTTCTTCTTATTATTATTATTTGTACGCCTTAATTAAATTTAAAACAACACCGCATTTTCGGAATTCACGTAAGTCGCTTGGTTTCACCTTGCACGAGATGGATAATTTATCTTAAGACACGTTTAAAGACACTATATATTTGTTTCGTATAATTGCGAATATTCCGAATGTGGTATTAATTTAAGACAATTTTACTCCGCCCCTCGTTTTCGTTAATTAGCGGCAGCGCTGTAAAAGGACACTTGGCCTAAGTCCTTCATTCCATGTGGGAATAACAATCTGAATCGCTCCTATCGTTACGAAAGCAATTGATTGTTCCTTCGTTTAATAGCACGCACATCGGCACGGAGACGTGAAAATAATTTGCGCCACGCGCGATGACATACAGAACGTTCCACAGACTTTCCTCCAATTGATCTATCGAATAAATTTGACGTTAATTTATCGCAAAATTCAAAATTAGAGTGTGCAGCTTTTAAATATTTAAATCGAGAAATAAATTTAAACGGTAAATATATTTAATTCGTAAAAATTCAAACGCAATCTTCTTTCATCGTCAATATCTGATATTTTAATTAGTAAATTTTCTCAAGTTAACTTTGTGTTAAAATAAAAAGACATAGAAAGCATTTCTATGTCTTTTTATTTTAATACAAATTGCCCATTCAAGACAGATTCTATCAAAATCCCTTTTATTGCAGGTTTATATGAATCATTTCGTTTATTTTATTTATCCAATTTATCGCTGAATTTTCTTCAAAGAAAGACGAGAAATTTATTCTATGGAAAATCTAAAATGTCATTGAGTACTTCTACATTATAATTTTCAACAGCTGGCCTGTTGGTCTATCGATCGATTAATAGGCGTAGTCTTTCGATAAATGTGCCAAATAATATGATCGTTGTATTATGATTAAAAAAGAAAAAAGATATCTGCACTGTCTACAAAACGTATTATATATACAGAGCAGACTATAAAACTGTTACAAATAATTTAAAAATTTTATGCGTATTATGGAAGCTGATCGCATAACTTTGGTGCATGTAGATTGGGAGATTGGCGATTGAAAATATATATGTGTAGAAAGAAAAAAAAGAAAAAAAGAAAAAAAATACGAATTAATTATTCGCCGCAAAAAGAGGGTCGCGTCTCAAAAATGTGTGAATATGTCAATTTGCAAAATTAAAAATAAATTATTATGTAACACTGTGTCACATTTATTCCTCTGCAGCAAATATGTTCTACAAGATTCTTCATTTCCCACGAATCCCACTATGAAATACTTCTCGCAATAAAAATAATGCATCCTGTTGTTGCATTTTTATAGCGCAATAATGCACAAACTGGCTCACAAGATAATAAGGCAGATATTTTTTAATACGGTTAAACTCTAAATGAGAAAAAGATAAGACACACTTAATTCACATCATTAAAATGATTTCCTTACCTTCTTTTTTTCTAGATAGGTTAAAAAGTCTGTAAACCTTTAAGAATTAAATATTCTCTTAAAGCCGGAATTAAAAACTTTCGGTGGCGGTTCGAGTTTTTTTGTTCTTGAGTAAAAACAAATTGCGTGATCGTTTATTTTTACATTATGCAAAATATGAGAACAACGCAGATTATTTTTATGGTAAAATCACGATAAAGATTTTCAATAGTTAAAAACAATGATTAAAAACACGTCAGAAACAAAAGTCTGCTTTAAAAAGGCACGTTTCTGTACATGATATTTTAAAAATACATGTTCAAAATTATTAAATATATATAGTATAATTAGAGCTATAGAATTAAAATAATGCCAGGCTATTAAATATAGATATAGTAGAAGAGAGAAATATTACTCACATTGGATGTGTAAACAGCTTATTTGAAACGTGCTGATCTGACAAATGAGCAGATCCTTTTGATAGATTGTACCACTTCTTTATCCTCATGACTGAGATCTCCGACATTCTTCAATTCTGGTCTCAAAAGAATTTGACTTCGTACACGCTCCAAGGTAATCGACAAAGGCATCATTAATACCTTTGACCAATTTGTTTCCTCGTAATTAACCATGAACTAAAATACACATATGATTTTATAGAATTTTAAAGATTTTTAGAAACCTATATATATATTCATCAACAATGTATCGAACAATATATCGAATTTAAAGCAATTATTAATAATTTTATTTATCACCATGCCTTTATTATTAATAAAAAATATTTATAACATATATATGTATATATATATATATATATATATATATATATATGTATGTATTAATTACAAGCAAAACCAATTTGCACTATAGATATCGAAAAGTATAATTTTTATGATTAAAGGGTGAAAGTTTTATTACTAACCTGATCAAAGCAAGTGTCCTCGATATGAAACATCAAGTGTGTCAGAGGTTTTATGATGGGTGAGACTTCTGGCAGACTCATCAAATCCGTTTGTCTGTTTTTTTCGTCGCAACGCAGATTATTTAGCACCCATTCGGACGCTCGGACTAGATATTCGTTTATAATCTAGCACGCAAAAATAGTCGTAAAATTAATACATTAATTTACGAATATCAATTTATTTATTTCATATTTATTGTGGTAGATATACGAGCATTCTCAGAAATACGTCATTGTTTAACTCACCTTTAAAGAACGTCGTCCAGTACTCGTAAACAACAATTCGTCCGTGTAAGTCTCAATGACGCAAGTCATGTTCTGTAATTCGTTATTCCTCGAAGTTTGATCTTCTCTTCCGAGACTGTAACAAAGTTTTTGCTTAAATAACATAAAATGGAAAATATAACATTTTAAATTAATATTAAATTAAAGAAGTTATACATGGAATTACCACTAAACTAACTTAAGTCACATTAATTATTTAAATCAAAATTTGCAAGTTCCACTTTTTAGAGATTTTACGTATTCAGCGCTAATGCAATTTAAATGCGAGAGTAAATATAATATATAATAATGTACACATTACGCAAAAATATAATTGGATAATATTATAATTCATTATATATTATATTAGAATTATATTATAATTCATTATATATATATATATATATATATATATATATATATATATATATTTATTATGAGACTATATTGTATAATATATATTATATATGTATATTATGTTATATATTGTATTTTTATGGCAAATTTATAATCCCTTTAATATTTTTGAAATACATGTTTCTTCGCAATCAATAATTATTTAAATCATTTTAATAAATTTTCAATAATATGATATATAAATCATTTTGAAAATGACAACTCTTTGCTACAATTTTATATAATATATTTTTCATAATATTTTCACATATAATGCAGTTTACAAAATCATAAAAGAAAATCAACCGTTTCTAATCAAAAGCTATCTAAGTTAAAAATGATCCTAGATAAATTAAAATTAATTTCTAAAAGAAAGAAATTGATTAAATTAATTTCTACTTCTTTAAGAAGTAGAACTTAAGAAATTTATAAATTACTAAAAAAAGTTCTTAAAAGAAAGAGACGTACCTGTCTTTTACGAGAAGAACGAAGGAGTCTATCTGCGCCGTGTGCTTGTTGTCCTCGTCGATGCTGCAAATCGCTTCAGCGAGGGCCGTGGCTGCGGTCGATCTGTCGTAAGGGTTAAAGGGGCTCAGCTCGCAGTTTGTGACCCTGGAACTCGGTGTATCACGAGAACCCTTCCTTCCACCTTCTCTCTTCGCGGACACGTCCAGGAGGCCGGAGTACAGAGCGGCGCACAGGATTTGAAGCAACACGTTACCTCCGATCGGACAACAATGCGCAGGAATGTTATCGTTGAGGGCAAATGCTGTGCGCAAAACTGGAGTCGAAGCTGTCACGTATAACTCGGCGAAGCAGCCGATCGCCAGCGACATGGCTTGATATATGCTGGCACCTGTCTAAAGATTTAATTTTTTAAATTTAATGCATTTCTAAATATTTTGTCTCTCTTAGGGATCCGCAATTTTTATTTAAAAACAAACGATTAAAACGCGTTTGTGATGTATTATAATTACCTTTGCAGCTTCTAGAAGCACCTCAACTACTGGCTGCATCATGATCTTCAGAGGCTTTATCAATGCGTTGAGCCAGGGTGGCCTCGATTGATTCCACACCTTTAAAATAATTATATATAATTATAATTAGCAAATGACGAATTAGTAAATTGTTATAAATTGTATATAGTAAAATTAGAATTTTCTCTGGAACTTTATAAAATTTTCACGAGAAATTTAATGATTATTTTTTCTATTTATATAAATAAATATATTATTTAGCTTATCTTAAAAATTAATAATTTCATTTCTACATTTCACGTCTCTCTACATTTATTAAAATATGCTTGCATTATCGTCACACATTAAATCAATGCAAATATTTTAATGAGAATTGGTATAAATTTACGCGATTAAATCTTTCCAACGAGATTTTATAAAAGCGCTCGACCTGTTGTCTATCCAGATAATTGGACCAGTTTGGATCCTGCTTCAATGCGGGTATAATTACATGCTCTGGCTCGTTAACGGTCACCACTAGTACGTGAGATAAGCTGTATAATGCCAAAGCTGAAGTTATTTTTAGTGATTTATCGCACGCTGATCCGCTGCATAAAAAGCCGCCGCAACTCTTTTCGTTTTTCTTCGATTTATTAACTGCGTCGTATTCGTCTACGAACGTAAAGCTCACATTTTGACGTACCAAAGTCTTTAATAGCATCTTTCCTACGACGTAATCGTTCATCGATATCACCTGCGGATGGATGAAAATTTGACACAAGATGCGAGTTAAAAATAAGAAGTTTTTTAAATTAATTAATTATATTTTAAATTATTTAATATATTAATTAATTAATTACTTTCATCAGTTGAGGCCAGTTGGGTTGAGGCTGATGCCTCATGACATTCAACTCGAGGATAACGGCTTTGTCCTCAGGCAACGTTATAATATCAGCTGGAGTATCAGTTGCGTTCAATCCTAATAAATTCGGAGCGCATATTAATAGCCATGGAGCTGGACTGCGTCGAGGTCGCAGTATCGCCAAATTTTCCAATCCGTGTCGGAAGATCTGAATAACGTATATAATCATTTATTATTTAACATTTATAAAAGATATTTTTTTATCATAATATTAAATGTTCATGTTTTAATATCGCTAAATTAGATTCCAGGTTAAATTAATGAATAGGACTTTTATCTTTCTACGCGTTCTCTGTGTAATTTTAATTTATAAAATTACACTTAATAAAAATAATGTACTTTTCGTTCGTTATGTTTAGTTTGGAAAATATTTTAAAAACCTGCCACTCTGAAGGCAATTCTTTGAGATACAATTCTTTGAGTGCTATAATTCTATCACATAAAACGTGTAGTACACGTGTTTCAATTTATACGAGTACATTTACTTAATTAGTTTACTTAATAAAAATGTGGTTTTTTTTTTAAATAAAATGTTCAACTTGTTGGAAAATGTTTTAAGAGCCTAAGAAGACACTCTGGAGACCCGTACCTGATACAGTTCTCTGAGAGGAGTGCCCCTAAGTAGTAAGCAGATTAATAATTCATTACATTTCGCATGTATATCTCTTATCGCTGTCGGCAAATTACTCGGTCGTGCACCTATCATCCCGTCGCCATCGACACATGCGCCTAAAGCCAGATATCCCGTACAGCAGAGCACATTAAAGGCGTCCGACCAAAATTGCTCGGATCTTGCCACTGTCGGTCGACCCTGTTACATAAAATAAATACTTTGTTTATATTATGTAAATTAAGAATAATACAAATTCTCAATCGCATATCTTAAGTGGAATTTTTAATGTTAGAACAATTTCCAATGTGCATGTCGAGTTATCCAAAAATATTGGGAATTCTACATCGAATTGTTTTATTTTTATTATTTGCATTCTTTTAATTTATCTCATTTTACTTAATCATAAATGATAACACAATCGAACGTTGCATTTTAATAAATTGCGAATGTATAATGCATGCAAATGATAAGAAAAAAATCAATAAATAAGATTTCAAACAAGTTTCATTTTATGTGATTTATAGGTATAACAATAAAGCGTTCTATACAGAGATAAAAGAACAGAATAAATTGAAAGATTAATCGAAACTAGTTGTGATATATCGCGGACTTACGTGAATGAATCGCGTTGTTATGATGGATAGGGACTCGTTTAACATTTCTGAAAATACACGCTGTGCCATCTTAGGCGAGACTGTGTTCCATAAATCCGCCTTAGTACCTGCAAATATTAGCATATTCGTTTTTTTGCGAATGTGTTATAAATCTGTATCTATAAAATATCACTATGACATTACAGTTATTCGGAGAGAAATGGGAACCGAATATTAATTTTACCTTGCATATATAGCCACCACATCTGTATAACGTAGGAGCATCGCTCTCTTTCGAAGAATGGTTTGTTGCTGTGCCAGCTGAGAGAGTCCGCTTCGTTAAGGATGTACAAGGAAATTAATCTACAGTGCAGATCGAGCAATCTCTCTGCCACGGCTTCGGCCATTTCATGGAATGCTTTGTGAGATTTATTAATTTTTTCACTATAAGAGAAAAACAAATAAAATTGATACAAATATCGTGTATATATATATATATATATATATATATATATATATATATATATATATATAGATTTATTTAAAATATAAGAAAGAGACCAAAAATATACTGCATTTTTTAAATTTTGAGATAAAATAAAAATTCTTTATTCTTATATTTTTTATACGTTGCATAATCATCTAATTATAACGTGCGTTATATAAAATAAACTCTTTTTCTTTTTTTAACGATCACAGCAAGATTCTATTTTGTATTTAAAAGAAGATGATAAATAAGAGATCATTTTTTGGAAACATGGACCATTAGAAATTTAGTAATTGAGTTAAAGAAAATTATTTAAAACCTATTCTACAAATATTCTCTTAGAAAAAATTCATAGTTGATTCAAAAATTTTTAAAAATACAATTAATTAAAAGTTGCAACTTTCATAGTGTAAAGTACCTGGCTTGAGAAGTGATCTTTCCTTTTGAGTGTTGATTGTAACACCATAAGCAATTTCGTATCAGGGCTGCTGCGCCCAAAGTGGCGGTGAGTACGGTAAGGTCGGCGTGATCCAAGGATTCTTGAATCAACATGTGCAGATGCTCTGAAAAATAAAAAAAAGAAAGAAAAAAATATAAATTTTATTTTCTCGACACTTCTAAATATTTCTAATTTTGTAAGTCTTTAAAAAGAAAGAAAATTGCGCCATTATCAAAAATTTATTCAAGTCAATTAAATACAGCTTTCTTGCCGAGGTAGATAGACAAAGTAAATTAAAAGAAGACAAGGATCAATAGTAGAATTATTTAATTAATTTAGAATCGATTTTCTTAAGCGGAAATTTAATCTAAGATTTAATTATGGTATTGTTTTATGAATTCAAGAGATCTTTTAGTGCGAATTAAATCTCTTTGAAACATAACACTTTGCACATATATTCTTTAATTAATTTGTAATTTATAATAATAATCTCCAAAAATATATGTTAATTATTTAGTAGAATATTGATAAAAACGTTTCAAATTTAAAGATTTAATATATAATAATTAGAACAGTTGTATTTAGCATTTAAATATATTCATAAAGAGAGAGATCTACTATAAATGCATATATATTTAATAATAAATATATACATATATTTATATATATATTTACTTTTTTATCAATTACCTTTTTAATTTCTCTTTATTCATTATTCTATTAATCTATTTATGGATTATATTATATATTAATCTATTTATTTGTTGCCAGTGTTTTTCAAATATAAAAATTTTATTTCTCGTCATCGAGATAAAATGTACCTAGCAATTCTTCTGCGGTGTCGGCAACGAGTAGAATAAAATCGGAGGGCTGGATCCGTTTAATAGCACCGTCCTCGCTGTCGACGCTGGATGCGCCTTCATTTTCGGTGGCGCTTAAACCAGAAGCGCACTTAAAAGCGGCCACGAAATCCGCTTCCCACCATGTGACGATTTTTATTGCGGCGAACGAAGCATGTCGTGGAAAATCGAGTTTCCCACCGCTAATACGTAGGCATAGCGGTTCTCTCAAAACTGTTTGCATATCCTACATTTCGCAAATTACAATATTATATGTAGCATATAAGATGAGTTTTAATTATGTCACATTTTTAGAATAAATAATATCAATCAATCAGCATCAATTTAAATATTTTTTACCCGTTTATTAAAATATCTATGAAAATTATTATTAAATTATTATTTAAGATAAAGATAAAAATCTGTATCTACCACCAAAATAATAACAGAATTATTTGATTCACATATTTGTATCCTTGTTTCAAGATCATCAATAAATCAATTTTTTGCAATTAAATACGTCATACATAATAAATTTGGAATAAAGCGCTTTTGTATCCTTTTGGAAACAGATATAAAATATAAACTATTATTATTAATGACAATTGTAGTCAATTAATTAATACCTGATAATATTGCATGTCTCGTTGTAGTAAAATTCTTACGCGATCGACCAAATTCCCATCTTCCATAATCTCCATTTTTGCTTTCTGTCGAATAATAAAGGAAAAATTATATTCGAACAGTACGATTAAATCATTTCATTATGCATAATTTAGTACATAAATAAAATTCGATATAGTTGCAATGTAATTGCAATTAAGAATGCTCTTTTTAATGCTAGTTTTATACATATAAAGGAATTTTGATGAATGATCAATTTTACTTTAATAAAAAAAAATAATGTTGTTCAATATATAATTATCTAATAATTTGACGAAAGAAATCGAAATTGTTATATATATATTTGTAACTTTAAAGAATGTAAAAATAAATAATATTATATAATAAATATTTTTTTAAAAAATAATTTGCATATTTTAGTTGCAATGTATCTATGTTGCTATATAACTAAAGTATAAATAAGTATATAACAATAGTGTATATGTGCCATTATAAAAATTCAGTTTGCATAATACGTAATCATTTGATATATTAAAATTACTCACATAAAGATTTTACACCGTAGTGTCTATACATATATATACATATGGTGTTGAGAAATTTTCTTCACTTATTTTAATATTAGTCTTATGTACAACTTTCTCATAAATCAAATCTTTAATAATTTTCACTTTATATAATTATATAAAGAGAATTATAGTAAATTCGCACCAGCTATCATAAATTAAATCTCTATTGATATTATTTCTCAAAAGAAAAGTCATCGATTACACAGCTTGCTCTTCTTTGCCACTAAAGGAACATTTGTCGAAACATGCTTGATGCCTCACAATCGCTGGTATCTCTTTATTCAATAGTTCGTGCAATGTTTTGCCATCATGTTTGTATATCCATTGACCATTTATAAAATTATAACGCTTGGGTCCAGATTTTGGAGACGAGAGCCAAATCTGTTTGTTTGGTGTCTGACGATTTATAACATAAGTGCCATGTGGGTCACCAAAGATTACAGTCAGTACACCATCCTGCAACAGAAATTTCGCAAATATTAAACACACAAACACAAATGGCAATTATGAATTCTGTAATTACTACTCGCATACTCCATAAGATACATCTGCGTCTGGCAAATGTGCTGCTGCTTCAACTAATTCCTCAAAGTACTCGCTTAATGAATCTAAAGTCTCATCACAGATTCTCTCATATTCCACCGGGCTAAGTACGCTAATAAAATTATATAAATAATAAATTTTGATGTTTCAACAACATATGCAAATGTTATAGCATTAATTATAAAAAAAAATAGTACGATTAATATAAAGATACTCACTATTCTGTCGAATACTCAGTATCGGAACTAAAATTATTTAGAGATGATTGTAATAAATTTGTTAATGAATTTCTCTTCGCAAAATGTGCTGAATTGAGGTTAACATAACCTCGAACGTGACTTTTGCATTTATTCAGTTGTACGATTCGTTTTTTGATCAAAGTTTTATTTAACAGACTACAAGATAATCTCCATATTATGCTGGATCTCGTCGTGATAGGCAACATGATAAATAGTCTCTTTGAAGTTTTATCGATTAAACAAACTCTCTGGTTAATACAATGAAATCTTCTGACACATGTTTACATCACATCGCCGCGTGCAAGAATGTGTCTATTGCGCAACTGCAGCAGCCGATTAAATAAATTTTCAAAAGCAAATCGAAACCAAATAATGCGACAATATGGTAATAATTTTATTACAATATTGTCATTAATTAATAAACGTCATTTTATTGAAGTTCTGTTAAAAAGCAAAATCAACAAATCTTTGTTAAAAAATAATAATACCTAAAATAAAAAGAGAAATAATTCCTGATATTTAATAATGTCTAGAAATTTAATTTTTTTTCAAGTTACGATCGCGCGGAGTTCACTTGATGAATCCATTACACGTTGCGCCAGAATTGCGACAATTCTGTCAAATAAATTTCGTGCGACCGTAGCTTTAAGCACTGCCAAGAATCATTAAATTTTTTTGTGAATATTTTTACAAACATGATAATAAAATTATTGAAAAAGAAAAGAAACAAATTTATTTCTGCAATTTCTGCATGTATATCTAATATATGCCTAAGGAAAGTATTACTGATTTTATTTATATCTAATATAGAATAAATATATTTATTATATATTAGATATTTATAATATATATTGTTTTTATAGGACCTTCTTCCTCACAGATGAGTATATAACAATATTAATTATTATTATGCGAAAATGACGAAATAAAGATATCAGGGTATTTTGGATGATTTCACATGATTGAATCTGTGGAGGGAATCCCTGGAATAAACAACCAAGCAGAATTTACATAACGAATAAAAAAAAGCAAGAGCTGAGCAAGGAGGGACCCGACACATTACACTAGCAGTATCAGCGAATCAGTGTATGTGCATGCGTGCATATCAGTCTTTCTCTGAATTTCCCGTAAATCTGACGCTCAATAAATATCGCGACACTTTAAGAAAATCGACAATCATAAACATGTTTATCCGCACAACCGATCTCGCGATACTTCGGCTAACGATCGTATTAGCATGCATATTCGCGAAACCGGTGTTTCCCTACGTGCTACCAGTTCCGACCTTCGAAGTACTAAGGCCGCAAGGTCTTCGAGTTTCTATACCTGGTAAGTTTGATATCGAGATTTAATACAGTCTACTACAGAAGAAAAAATACGTAACAATTTTAAGTATTGTTTTCGAAAAAAAAAATTGTTTAAATTAAATTAAATCGATAAAAGTCTCATCTTACAAGTTCAAATTACAGAACATCATTTAACTTGTTTAAAAATTATTCTAAAAAGTAACTGTTTTATAAATTGCAACATTAAAAGATGTCTAATTATAATAAATTACGATCAAGAAATTATTACATACATTATTTGTTGTTAAATTGTCATAATAATGTTGTAATCTGATCATGTAAAATGCATTTTATATATCTAAAATGTAGTATATAAAATAATATAATAATGTAAAAATATTGGCGATTATAGTTATAAATATAAATTATAAAAATATCGGATAATTTGTTTAACTCGTTGTAAATTTATAAAAAAATGTTTCGAACAGAATCATATCAAAGAGATGACTCAATTATGATAATTATATACATATGCAATCGGTATCACTGTTTATTATCAAAAGCATAACCAGGGTCATGCCAACATGAATGATTGTCTTAAATATCAAAACCATGTGTTTTTTATTTGAGAAGTATAAACTAACAAATATTTTACGACTATCTTTAAACAATATTCGTTATTTAATTTAATAATTAATTATTAAAGTTATTAACAATATCAATCATTATAGTTGTTAACATGGACAAGTATGATTGAATCATTTTCTTTAGGGATTTCCTCGGATGACCAAGATTAATCGTCAAAGAAGCGTGTAATATTAAGTGGTTTTTCTTGGAGTGTTGACGTATTTCACTTTATCGCTAAACGCATTATTTTATCATAATATGTAGTATCGAATACTTAATGACTACATAGATGCAATTTCTAAAAAAGTTTTAAAATCATAAGAATAATAATTCTTCAATTTTAATATCGCGTCTAATATTATATTTTAAACTTTTAATTGTGTCTTTATAAAAGAACACACACACACACACTCAGACACACACACACACACACACACATATATATATATATATATATATATATATGTAAAATTATGCAACATAATAATAAAAAATAATTAAACAATGAAAAATATTAGGAATACATTCATATTGTAAACTACGAATTTATATAATGTGCCTTGATTATAAGATTATAATAAAAAAAAGAATTTAAAAAAATAATTTTTATATTTAGAAATAAATTATGATTAATACAATAGTTATGAAATATGATTAATAGATTCACCGGGCTTAAGATTATTTGGATTCCACGCTAATAAAAATAAAGCAATTCACGCTAACGAATACGGCGAGGTCGCTGGTAATGTTTATTTAGCGACAAACGACCGCTGGATTTTCGAAGATACGGAAGTGACCATAAGGAAAGAGATGTACTTCATTATTGGATTTATGCGCAAGTGGATGGGAACAAACACACAAGTAACATCCAGACGTGGACGCATTCCCGTAAGATTATTTACATAAACATAGCAATTAATTTACATAAATATAGCAATTAATGATCAAAGTAACGGTATTATTTTTACGATAACGATAACGTGTATCTCACGGATTGGTAGCAGTGAAAAATCCAGGAACTGACAGTGAAGAAACTATACGGGGTTCTACTACATCAAGATATGAAATTCCGCCCGCTCAGCTATTGTTCGAGGATAATTTCAATTTTTTCAACGCGTCATTATGGAAACGCGAAATAAAGATGCCTCTATCCCCGGTGAGTATTTCGAGGTCCTTTTTCTGAATTATTAAAAAAAATAAGTAAAAAAATTAATACAATTATTAGCACAATATTTGATATATATTGTATCCTTTCTTTTTCATTTAATATTTAATTTTGTTAAAATTATTAAATTAAAAATAAAAATAAATATAACAATATATATATATATATATATATATATATATATATATATATATAATAAAATTACATGCAATATATGTAATAATATAATAAGAATATAATAAAAATTTAAAATATAAATTTTTGTTAAAATTATTTAATATATAATTATAGGACTATGAGTTCTGCGTTTATCACAATGAAAACCATCAGCAGCTCGTGCAAATTGACGATGGTCGATTATTGATAAAGCCAATTATATTAGAGGATTCATATGGTGAGAACGCGACTGCATATGGATTATTACAACTCAATAGGTGAATATATTAGTCACCGACATAAGAGATCTCTTTACTTTCCAGATAGCAAAAGTGATCATATTGATGTCAAAATGATGCTATAATAATTACTGTTGTGATCTGAGCTAATGCAAATTCTCACTCTATATTTTTTCTTTTATTTATAATTCTTTTTTTTCTTTTTCAGGTGTACTAGCACAGTTTCTTACGAATGTTCGCGACACGCATTATCCTATAGCATTCTACCGCCCATTATATCCGCGCGTCTTACCACGAAGGAGAGTTTCGTTTTGCGGTCCGGAAGAATCGAGATACGTGCGAGATTTCCTCGGGGCGATTGGCTATATCCAGGTAATTATATACAATCTGCGATTTGTTGCGCATAAGATAATTGAAAAAACATACAATATAAAACAAAGTGATATTTTGTCAGACGTATAGAAAAAAATGTCAGAAAATTTCTTATTATTAATTTGTCAATCTGTCAATTTTTCATTTAAATCAATTTCTTCTATAATTTACATGTTTTTTGCTAATTGTATATATTTAAATTAGAAATTCTTATTTTCTGCGAGAAATTTTGAATTTTTCTTATTCTTGACACGAGCTGAGATAATTTTATTATACAAAATAGATTTTCAAGATAAAATAATATAAAGCTGGTCAAGGAAATCTTGACTGAATCTACTCAAAACATGGCATAATCCAATTATTAATTAGTAAATATTAATAGTATTCATTAGTTTATAATTAATATACATCGCGTTAAATAAAAGTAACAGAAATTTATAAAATACATGTGTATATCATTCTGTGCAATTTTATCAGAAATGTGGCTCGAGCCAAAATATTTCACGTATGGTGCGAATTATGCCAGTGGCCGAGTTCTTTTGGGTATGACGCGCGGCAATGAGAACCTGGTGAATGCCACGGATGTTTCGAAAATTTATGACGCTCGAAGATTGGATTTTGGTATAAGAGTAGGCCCACCTTCAGACGTTCGGGAAATACTCGTGTCGAAGATGCATGAATTCGGACCGCGATGGACGCGGGATTTCCACATATACACGACGATCTGGACCAGCGATGGCTTCACGTTTTTGGTCGATGGCGAAGAAATTGGCCGGGTGAGACCCGACAAAAAGGATGGATGAGTAGTTCCAACGCAGGCAGAAAAAATGCTCCATTTGATCAAGAGGTAAGATCAATGCATTTTATTATTGCTGCACTGGTGCAAATAATATCACTGTAAAATGAAAGTAAAGTGAGTTCCTGGAATTGTTTATACATGATCAAATATGAATATAATTATTATATATAGAATATTTCCATATATGTGTTCTCATTTTCTTATATTTTCAATTATTCTTCTTATTATTTTTCTACAGAAACAGATAGAGTATAATGATAAGGGAAAGAGAACACATATATTCTATGTATAATAACATTTAAATTATATATATATATATATATATATGGTATTAAATTAGATAATTCTTTATTTTTACAATTTCTATTTTTATGTCTTATTTGTATAATTTTTTTATACTTACAATTACACCTAATTTATAAAGTTTTCTAACTTTTCTATATATTATAGTTTTTATTTAATAGAAATTGTAAAAAAAGAATTATCTAATTTAATAGCAAAAAATTAATAAATTTTTAAGAAACCGTAAACTGTGACCAATACAACTGTAATTTAAACGGTTTCGGCTCTTTTCATTGATCTAGAAATCAAAACAGTTATTATATGAATGACCTTAACCATGACCGAATCTCGGAATATCATTTTAGTCCGGTTTCTTGAATATAATATTGTATAATAAACAAGTGTTGCAATCTTTCTATCAGAATATTTATGTCGTTTTATCTTATATCAACAGCATAAATTAATTTTAAATATAAAATATATACCTACTAAATATATCAATATTATGTTTTATAATTTTTGAATATATACATATAATTTATAATTTTTTTAATGATAGTTTTATATTACCCTTGGCGTCGGTGCGGGTGGAGTACGTGTATTTCCGGATAATACGCTCAGTTCCGGATTGCCAAAACCATGGACAAATCTAGGTGCTAAGGTATGGATCCTTTAATACATTCGATGTAATTGCATATAGCTTCTGTTCTTGAGATATTTTCTTAAAATAAAAGAATACGATTTATTTTTAAAATAATTACATAAAAAAGTATATATACACATTGGTTTTATTCAATTATAGGCAATGTTAAATTTCTGGCATTCTCGAAACGAATGGCTACCAAGTTGGAGGCAAGACAATGGCGAAAAAACTGCTTTTGAGATAGATTACGTCAAAGTGTGGTCTCATTAATTAAATCAACGCGTTGACGTCTATATGTATAACTCATTTTTATCATTCATATAATTTCTCTTATCATTCATATTTTTTTTAATGAGAATAAATACTCCAGACTTTCTCGAATAACATATATATATATGTACAAAGCCATTCGATTACTATATTGGATATAAATAAAAAAATCGACAAGTCAATTACCTTCTGATTCAACGATGACGAAAGACTACAATGTCAACGATATTATAATACTCGAGAGATGCCTTTTTGCAATCCAAGAATTTTGTAATTGGAGTGCACTGTTTTTCTGTAGAAGAGAGTGAACGATATACTATCCGTGAAATCGGGAAAGAAATTCAGGGTCGCCCGGAGCTGGTTCTACCTTTAATGCTCCTTCCATTAACCGCTCAGACGATCATCTTCTGATAATGCTCTTGACATGAACAGAAAAATTTCTTAAATGACATTTATGAAGGACATGTTTTCCACGTTTAAAGCAGATTTTCCGAAGCGATATCGTTATTCGTTCGTTCATTAACTTTTTCTACATATTTTGTTCTCTTAGCAATGCATCTCATCTCTTTTTTTTAACAGATAGTATTTTTATATCCTTATATGTTAAAATAGAAAAGTATATCTATTATATTTTTCTCGTTGTAGTTCTACATAAATATAAGAAAATACAAAAAATTAATCAATTTATATAATAATTATATGTATATATTTTAAGTTTACATCATTACATCATTGCACGAAACGTAATGTGTACGTATCCTGTAGAGCTAAAAATACCGTACTAGATTTGATACATTGTGGCAACCGGCTGTCAAGGTCATTCTGTGCGAAATCAGGCTTGATTTTACTCGGAAGTTTCGCTTTCCCGGCGAACATCATCTTGAGAGAGAAACTCAATTCTAAGATCGTACGCAAAGTGTTTTGTGCTTTGATGTTGACATAAATATATTTTTATAATGACATATAAGGAAACCAGATATAAAAGAGAAAAAATAATTCGATCGCAAAATGTGCCGACTTTCGACCTGGTCCATCTTTCAAACCGGTTTACCTCGGAAACAAGAAAAAAAGTGGCAGATCGTGCGGTCTTTCTTCCGTCTACTTTGCAGTGAGTCCTGCTTGATGTGTCTGTCTCGGAGAGCCAATTAATTTAACATCTACTACAGCGCGCACGTGTGTACTTTTACGCTCTATCGTGGCACATAAGATCTCGACAAAGTCGAACGACCTCATCTTCAGCTTCAACGTCTTCGTCTTGTCCGGTTTCGTTCCCTCTTCTACGGCGACTTTTTCCTCTCGCGAACAGTCGATCGATAGCTCTCGCTGTAGCTATACTACGACTTCCTCTCGTAGAATCGCCGGATAAAATTCAAACTCTCTGTAAAAAATTTACCGAATGTGTTAACTTAATTCTTCATCACATTTAATTCGGTCATCCACTTGTCAAAACCCCGTGATAAATAATGATATTAAAAACGTGACTGTTATTTTAATAATCTTCATTTGGGCTCGTGATTCTTTGGCGGGTTGTCATCGTTCAAGACGCTCAAGTAAGTTTAAAAAATAAATATTATATTATAAATAAAATATATTTTATAATTCGATCAGATAAGATTATATTGTTGGAATAATATAAGTTTTTACATTAATAAATATCTTTTTTACTTTTTATTATGATATATTGTATATAAAAAAATCTAAAAAATTTATCTAAAGAATATCTCATAAAGAGCAAAAATAATTAAAGTAGTTATAAAATGTTTTACACACATTTCCCGGATGTTGTTTTAATATGTACATGTAACATGGATTTATTGCCTCTATTGAATGCAAGTTTCCATAATTTCTTGTACATACATATTCAGAAAATGTCATTGAAATTATTGAATATTTAAATCTATTTAATTGTCATTACGTCATATCAGTTTCTGATGCATCTTACAATGCACGCAATTAAATAATTGAAAAAAATGTGATCAAATAAACATATATTAGATTGATTTATAAAACCCGCTCTATGTATACTTATATGTAGTTATATAATTAAATAAGAATTATAAATATGTAAAAATTTATGAGAATTTCATTTCAGACAACGAATACATACTGCACAGATGCACAGCTACTGCGGAATTAATTAGGAAACACAGGAACAACGGGGAAGGTGTGAGCTCGCGTAAAACCGAGGACTCGTCTTCTCGGTTGCAAATACAGCAGAGAGATCCTGAGATTTTCTCGGCGACGATTCTAATGGACGCTTCTCAATCCGAGACTCCGAGTGGTGTTTATCGACGTATGACCCATATGAGACGACGCGGTAGCGGACACGCACGTCGAATCACTGGCAAATATTTGGCAGATACACCTCTCAGGACTCTCAATATAGATGTACCGCAAGGTAAACCGTCGGCCTTCAAGAAGAAGAACCCGTTGCCGGAACTTGCGCACGACGTATCCGGCAGAAAAATCGACTCGTCGCCGCGTGTAATAATCATCAAACCTGTAACTTAACACCCTTCTGACAACGCTTGATTTATGAAAAATTTGAATTTATCGCGGAGATTGACGTACAATTAATTGTAATAATTTAGATAAATTCGCGCTGCACTTTTTTTGTCGTAACAATTCATCCAAAAAATTACCGTTTAATAATAAAATGTAAGAGATTATTTTTGTCGTCACTAAACTTTCGAATATTGAAACATTGTATTAAATATAATTATAATTATATTATATTATAATTAAATAATTATAATTATAATTAAATAAGATAAATACATTTCAAGTGTATTTTCCTTATAATTTATACCAGGAAATTATCTACAACAGTATAATTGTAATATAAACAATTGTTCTTTTTGCATAATTATACTTTACACATTGCAGCTATACTCTCTGGCAACTTGTGTATTTCAACCTGTGAATAGAAATTCATAAATAAACAAGATGCAAAAATAATACATAGAAAACATTGAGACACGTAAAATATATTGCATTTTTTTGTTGTAAAAATTGTAAAAGTTTAACCTTGGTCACTTTCATTGCCACTCCTTCTGGTAAATTTCTCTGAAGATATTCTATAAAAGTATCTGCTGTCGACCCAGTTAGTTTTAAAAAATCCAGGTAACGATAATAAGTTCTAATTTCATATTGTACTCGATGTACTTTATGAACATGAGCAGATTTCAGCACTGTCCATCGTTCATGGATAGCTTTACGTGGTGCTGTACTAATAAAGATATATTTTGACATTTTGATATATCGGCACAAATAATTGATCAAACATTAGGTGAAGTCAAATAACTGGCGAACTTACTTTCTACATACATTGATGTTTAAATAATTCGCAGCCATCACCGCAAATTCTCCATAACTTTTCAACACTGCTGGATCATTTCCTCTGACTTCAATCTCGATTTTCTTGTATAACTTATCCGGTGTGCTCTGAAAGAAGAGTCTCTGTTTTTAACTGTTTTTGCATGAATATAAACAAATTGAAAAATATATTGATTTTTCACAAAATTTACCGTGTTCGTCGAGAGCAAGGATGGCTGTTCCCTCGTCGAGTCTTGCTGTTCATTCTGTTCTATCGATGTTGAAAATCTCACGAAGGACGCGTTATTTCGTAGAAAATTTCGCGCAAGAACGCTGGCATGTCCCGAGTCACATCGAACGACATCAGTGACGATATTCTTGAGAAGAAATGGTACCTAACAAAGGGTTAAATAACACAGGTTAATTTGCAATCGATTTACATTAATGTCACATTGATTTTCATCGAGTTTTACCTTGGTCAGGAACATTTCTCGTCGTTACCGGTTCAGATTACCTCCTTCAGAGTACATAAACACCATCTTGGAAACGTGGGGGACAGCTAGTGCCGCTCGTCTTTGGATATGCGAACTAAAATCGGTCACGTGACAAGAAGTGAAGAATGGAAGCTACATTTAAAAACTATGCGCTACACAAGTATATATGTTTATCTTATATATGTCATTATATAATTACTATTACAATAATCAGCCTATTATAGATTACAATTATATTTTTTGTTATATAGCGTATAAATATAAACTACACTTGTTTTTAAATATAAATTCTAAGTGAAAAGAAAAACATGTTTATACATACATATTATACTAATTGTAAAATACGTTACGTGTAAACATAAATTTCTTAAGTCAATAAAGCCTTATTTTCCTTGTTTTATACATTTCTTATTTTTAGATTTTAGAATTTATAGGAAACTTACAATCATTAGATTATAATATTTAATTAATATATTTATTATAATATTTAATTAATATTATATTTTATAATATTTAATTAATATTATATTTTATTATAATATTTAATTAATATTATATTTATAATATTTAATTAATATTATATTTATTATAATATTTAATTAATATTATATTTATTATAATATTTAATTAATATTATATTTATTGATATATTTAATTAAATTTATATTTATTAATATAATATTGATTATAATAGTTAATTAGATGTCTAATTTATAATAAATGATATTTGATAGAAGCTAATTTAATTTTATCGCACTGTTATAATTTAGATTATTTATAATAGGCACGTATATCTCCTATTTATAATTTTATACGTAACACATAAACTCCAATGCAATTTATTTTCAGAAATACTTTAGTTGGAGATACATTCCAATATTACATACATACAGATATCTTAACTTTGTTGATGCAAAATTATGTATGTACAATGTTCATCATAATAAACATACAGCCTATTTCTATGTTTACGTTTCTCATATATAATTAAGAGTCATATATAATCAATTATCTGAAAATATTGAAAAAAAAAACTTTTATCGAAATAATTAATTAATAATAAAATGTATCACTGTGTGTATCATGTGGATATATCACTTGGAACGAGAATGGAAATACAGAGAAGCACTATTGTCATTTTCACGAAATCACAATACAACTCACAATTAATAAAGAGATAACTATTCTAAGATATATCTTAACATACATATTCTGCAACTTGTATAATTTTATCCAACTCATCAACACATACTTTTTACCATAATATAACAATAGATAAATGGAAACTTCTTTGTGTCATAAACTGAAAAGTTTTCAGGATAATTAAATTAAGAATGAAATCTAAATTATTAACTTGGTGTATGTAACATTAAAACGTTTCGTTTTAACGTCGATTGGCCATAAAAGACCGTGATTGCGATTGCGATGAGAAGTTATAGTTCGTTGGCTGCCAGGCTGCAACGTTGTTACCTCCCTGCCAGTTGGATGATAATGGCACTTTCTTGCTCACATCGTTCAGAGGTAACCAGCGTGAATCGTTTATGTTTGGATTACCACTGTTCTGACCTGGTTTCGCCGGGAAAGCTTGCGACTTGTTCTGCCAATTGTCTTTGGATTTGGCCCACGAATCCCCTTTGTCAGTCTCTCTTGACCAACTGGACGACGATGCCATCTGATTGTCGAGATTCATCCACCTTTCTTTCATCCCGAGATTATTACCCTCGTCGCCCCAGGGATCTCGCGCATCCTCTGGCAGGTCGTTCCATTCGTCCTTGTCTCCTTGATTCCAGGAGTCGTTGGATTGATTCCACGACAATGTGGAGCCTCGCGGTTTGTCCGCGTTCATCATCCAAGGCTCCTTGCGACCACCCAGACTCTCCTTGTTGCGATTCCAAGTTTCGCCGCTGGTTCCTGACCTGGATGAACCGGACCATCTGTTGTCCGAGACCTGCCACGGTTCCTTCATACCAGATTTCGCTAGCGGCTGCTTCGGGGCCCACGAATTTCCGTGGAACGAGGAAGAATCCCTGGTGTCCCAAGACTTCTCTTGGTTACTCGGCTTAGAATATCTATCGTTATTGGACGAACCTTGCCAGTTCGACGATTGCCTCTCGTTGCGCCAAACATTCTCGGATCTGTCGTTGATGGACCTTTGCCAGGTGCTGCTCTGTTCGATGGCGCCGCGGCTCGGTATGTCCCATTCGTCCGCGCATCTATTCGACGGCGGACTCTGGCGTCTAGGCGGGGACTGCTGGCACCTCGGCGGCGAGAAACGTCTCATGCTGGGCGAGTTATGCCTGGAGGGTGGATGCATCATGTCTCTTGACGGCGACATCATTCTGCCGACAGGAGAGACTGGTCTTCTGTCGGTAGACATTTGATGGCCCATAGGCGACATCGGCCGCCTCATGGGGGACATCGACCTCCTCATGGGAGACAACTGGCTCGAATCGTACAGTCCCACCGGCGACATTTGTCGTCTCGGCGGTGACATTTGTCGTCTCGGCGGTGACATTTGTCGTCTCGGCGGTGACATTTGTCGTCTCGGTGGAGACATTTGACACCGCACTATCGGTGACATCCGGCCGGCGGTCATCGATCGCCTGGGAGGTGACATGGGTCGTCTCGGCGGAGACATAGGAGCTCGATTAGGCGACTGAAAGGGACGTCTCGGTGGCGAGACTTGGAGTCTACCACCGGACGAAGACGCCATGTGCCTTAACTGAGGTGAGGCTCCTCGTCTCTGAGGAGAGTATTCACGGTGCGAAGGAGAATCGTGTATTTCGTACGGCCTGTTCGGAGGAAGATGTCTCTTGGGTGGCGACAGTAGCGGACGTTTCGGTGAAAATCTATTTGACGGCGATGCTCGGTGTCTAAATGACAAATCCTGTCTCTTCATCGGGGAAGGCTTTCTAGGTCCCGCATCATTCCAGCGACTCTTATCAAAGCTTTTATTTCTGTTCCAAGAATTGGAATCTTGATTTTGTTGCCTACCTCTGTTGTCGGATGAGGATTTTATTAACACCGGCATCACCGTATCCGGCTCTAGCGGTGCTAAGTTGTGATACTTCTTGAATTTCGATTTATGCTCATCGGTTTCCAAATATTCCTTGTTCGGCGCAGTAATAACAATATCCTGAGCGCGGGTCTCTTGGACAAATCGACCTTTTAATAATGGATCGTCATCGAGTTCCTTCTTTATCTGATCAGTCTCAGGAGGCGCGATACGATCCCACACTGAACGCGGCAATTGAGTCTGAAGCTTATTGGTTTGATCGAGAACCAAACTCAAAACATTTTTTATTTCCTTAGCGGTCGTTGGGTCGACTGTAGGAGATGGACCGCTTAATTTCTCTGTCGCCGCTTCGAGAATTTCTCGATTTGCATTCACTTTCTGTATCAAGACCGCATCAATACGGTTGCTCGATAATTTTTTCCTTAAATCGACTTGCTCTTTATTCTCTATTGTCTTTTTCTCGAATAACGGATTTATGCGAAGTGCCGAGTTATCATGGAACCAATTCTTTTTCTTGCCAGCAGCATCTGATTAATAAAATAAAAAGTTATATTACAGAGATGTATATAATTTCACACATATATGTTTAATTAGATATCTATATATCATCGAACTTACCCTGTTGCCATGGTTTAAATCCAGGTTTTTCAAATTTCTTCACTTTTTTAGGTATTTCTATTATTTCGGGCGAATGGTCCCGCTTCAATTTTATTTTACCCTTCACCGGTGAACCTGAATCGCTCTTCGCGAAAGGTGCCTTCTTTGAGTCTAGAGAGATTTTGGATTTTTTCACAAGTTCAATTTTCGCTAATGGATTTTTCCTTAATTGTACATCGGCACATTCAGCTCCGTCATTGATGATTATTTTCTTCTCTAATTCTTTAGTGTTATTCAACGATTTACTTTCCTCCTCCAGCATCTTGAGGAACCACGGCTGCGTGAGTCTATGCATGAATCTACGTTCCATTAAGATAACCGCTTCGAAATGGGGCCCATTAGGCAAAATGTCGACGACACATGCACGAACTGGCATGAACGGATGGCAAGCTGGATTAAATTCACCTTCTATAGGCCGTGCAAGTTCTAATATTGCCCGGACTGATTGTTTTGTCAGTGTGGTGACCATTACGATACGTCGTAGAGAAGTAATTTTTCGTAAAGCTGTCATTACTTCGATGGCTAAAAGATATCAGATAACTTTTAAGTTTTATTATCGAAGGACAATGTCCTTGTGACCTGAACGCGTGCTAAATTTTAATCCTTATTGATTAATCGCCAATAATATTAATAAGATACTTTTAAAAAATGAAAAAAAAAAAGATCGATTTTTCATACCTCTTCCCATATTGGTGTTCGCGTTGACTATGCTGTAAGTCACGCGATTTTTATTGTGCAAATCACGCGCACCATTTAGCTTATGGACGACTTCGAACGAAGATCCCGCTATGAATGATACGTTATACACATTATTCAAATTGCACGTTATCTTAGCTTCTTCTACCTCCGAAGGCGAATCAATTCCTATCACTTCTCGACATTTCTGTTATAATGTAATGATAATGACATTAATTGTTCTGTTAATTCGGTTTAATGTTGCGCGTTTGTTTATATATGTATAATATAACTTTGACATTAGGATAATTAAACGCCATATTGTGTCATTTGATTTGCTTAATAATGCGTTTGCGCTTACATGCATATCTCGTCACAAGTTGCACATGTACTTACAGATGCTATTGTAAGTCCAATCACACCGATTCCACAACCGACTTCGAGTACTGTTGTTTTTTGCGTAGGTTTAAGCATATCGGCGACGGTTTTAGCTACATTCCACGCACCAGCAGCGTTAGACCAAAAGTTTGTCTTTGGCGTAAGCTGAACTTTTAAATTACCCACGACTTCATTTAGAGCCTGCGCTCCTGTCAAGAATGTTGTAATAGCGCTATCATCGTATCTGAAACGAATGCAGTGACATATGCAGAGATTTCTGCTGTTGAAGCAGAGCTTCTTCATCTTGTTTTTGTGTTCTTACTTGTTTATCGATTTGCAGTAAAGGGATTTAACGTTGCAATTCTTCCCTGAACCGGACTCATATATCTGCTTCAAACGATTCATGGTGGTGTGATTAATATTCTTTCCAGTTGCAAAAAGCATGAGCTCATCTTTACTATTGCAACGTACTAATAACCACGACCACTCTTTTTTGTTACATTGCCCTCCTGTAGTTGTAGCTTTTTTTGAATCATCCATAGATGGATCATCTGGATTCTCATTAAAAGTTATCGCATCTTGTCTTGGTATAGTTGTTTGAAGGAAATCTTCAAATATCTGTATATCAATAATTATTGATATGTCAATTACAGCCATTATTATGTGATTGTAATTATATCTAACTGATATTGTTATTGCACACATTTAGGTTTATATATGTGTACATAGATATATGAATCACATATATTAGAATCAAATTGCAACAACATATCAATTATTATAATTATTTTTATGTTACACAGCAATAAATTATTATATTGCACTTTTATCATTTTGTTATTAATACATTTTATTTTATAAATTGATAAACTTGCACACTTGTCTATACGGATTTAATTTATGATTAAATTTATATACATAATAGATAGTCTAAAATTATATAAACACTTTCTGAGTGTTTTCATTGTTTTTTATTTCTTTGTAATTAAACCCGTTGTGTGTACATTTTATTCATTTATATCATATCGTAGAATCTTGCTATTTAATAATACTTTTAAAGTTGCATTATTTGCATCGCAGTATAAATAATTCTGATTATTAATATTGCTGTATGCATGTCAGTTATCATCATCTCATTTTTTTTTCTTTCTGTCAAAAAATACATTCATGCTTATATGATGTAAAAGTGTATCAGAAGATGTACAGTATTCAATATTCATTATACTTTGTAATGATGATAATGCTGTGTATTGTACTGCACACATACAATATACACACACATTTTGTATATTTAATATATATATGGTATATATATTTTATATATATATATATATATATATATATAAGTTTTCTTCATATGAAGAGAATGTTGCATATCTTCAATGATGAAAATTTTTAAGTTTGTCCATTGCATTGTACCATAATTTAAAAATTACATTTTCTAATATGTTGCTGCACATCTTATGTGCATATGTATATAATTGTGTTTAATTTTATTTTCTCCTTCCTATTCTTATATTTATATTATTAATCCTGTTGTAATATTAACATCTTGATTTTGAATGTAATCATCCTATCACATATATAATAGCAACTTCCAAAGACTTACTTTAATATATACATATAATTTGCATTGCATATCTTTTGAAGATTAATTTTACTGTATATTATCTTCAAAATATATTTTGTTATAAATCCGTTTATGTGTAATAGCATTTTAAGTGTTTAATAAAATTAGATATTTACTTTGTCATAAGACAGTATTTGTCATTATAATTTTATACATGTTAGGACAAGTGTCAAATAGAAATATTTTATACTTTGTAAAAATTTAGATAACACATGTGTGATTGTCTATAATTAAATTCAAATCTCATGCAGTTTTTACAAAATAAGAGATGTTCATGAATGCACATATATGTTTGTGATTAAAAACTAATTTAAATTAAAAACTGAAAATTTTATGTATTAAATTACATTTATGCACCAAAAATATAAATTGATGAAAAAATTTATTTGTTTCAATATAAAAAAAATATACACAAACAAATAAACTTTTTCTAATAAATTTACCTTGACAGCATTTAATACAAAAGATGGAAAATCCGCCAAATTATCAGTATTAACACCTCCTGCTCCCATTGGTTCAAGACACCAGACTACTTTGAAACATTTTTTATTAGAAGATTCTGGATCGTTCTCTTCCTTTATAGGTATTGGTATATGTTTTTTACTACCTAAACATATTATTCACACATTTTATGTACACATTGCATTATTTATTATTATTATTTAGTTATAGAAGATATATCAAATTTTGTATCTTTTTTTCACAATATTTTCCTAGTTAAGAAATTATTTTATTAAATTTTTGATAGATTGAGAATCACAATTGCACTCTATAAGTTTCTCATTGCATTTTTAACTTATATTATGTATTATGTTGTTATAAATGTATATAGAGTTATGTTAAATAAAGATATAATTATTTTTTATTATTTTAAATATTTTTATATATGTATAACTTTTAGATAAAATATGTGAAAACTTGATTAAGCATCTTAATAAGTATATAAGAGATCAATAAATTGTAACTAAAAAAATGTATTAAATAATTTTAGAAAGAGAATATAATTTCTTATGCTATACACACATTATACAGTGTATTAAATCTGTATAAATCTATAATTTAAGAGTTGTAAAGAGAAAAGAAAAGAAAAGAAAAAAAGGCATAAATAGTTTCATATTTTTATGTTCCACAATAGTGTTTTTAAGATATAAATGAAATAAAATGCGATGTAGAGTATTTTTAAAAATATTTCATTTTCTATACTCACATAGAAACTTCCAACGATTGGTGTGTGGTTTAATTAACGAACAACGTCGAGGAGGATCTATCTTACACATAGGGGATCCCTCTAGTTTTTCAATCCTTTCTAACCATTTTTCATAAGAAGGATAAGAAACTGATAACACTCGAGCTAATTTCGACAATCTGTCTCTCAAAATTGCAGCTTTCTCTGTAATCTACAAAAATTACTTTTTATATAACTCGGAGTACATATTTTTATACAATTTTTAATTGATTTAGTTTAAAAAATACGAGATTATACATAATATTACCTTTCTTTCATACCACTTTTGCTCGCTAGGTTCATCAATCACTGATATTTCTTCTTGCTCCTGCTCTTCTTTTCCTAAAGAAGATCCAGATTGACTATGTTCCTTCATAGATTGATCTACACCAAAAGTTTCAGGATCTATTTCAATATTTTCTATCACATCTAGATGCTGCATCACATCTTCATCTGTCACATCTTTCTGCGTATCTATTTGATCTAAGTTGATATCAGTAGTAAAATCAGTAGCATCATTGTTTAATTCTTTATCACAATCTACCTCCATTGAAACTGGTTTATCAGTGTTGTCATTACGAGAATTTGTATCGCCTGCAATACAATGACCATTTTGACTTATCAATTATCATTTGGTGAAATATGATAAATATTTATAGAACGTTACTCAAAAATATTATATAATACTCAAATTACAAACATATAATAATACAATATATATATATCTAACAATACATATATATATATAATTTGCTCGATTATGTAAAACCAATTGTCAAAAACATCCTGTACAACACATTAATTGCATTTTTGTCGTACCAGTATTAGTCTCAGGCTCTTGCTGTTGCATACCATTGTCTGTCTTTGGGCAAGTGTCCTCGACATCTTCTGTCAGAGTATTTTCAACTGTTTCAGGCGTTTTCTCTCCCGTGCATTCGTCTATTACCTCGTATTGCTCATCTTTGTTCATGATTGCCCGGTGTCGCTCTGTAAATTCAAACTACATGTACATAAAAGTTTACACAAAGCGAATATATACGTTGAAATAAAGCACAATCGATAAGCATTTCTCGAATAATCCTATCGGGTCCAAAAACGACGCAAAATTCTATCTCTACGACGTACAATTTGTTTACAGTTTGAGGCGATCGGACTTGAGCCGCGTGCGAGAATAAAGGAGGAAACATAAAATGATATTCGCGAGAAAGACTTATCGCTTTGCGGTATCAACAGCTATGTGACGTAATGCAATGACTGGTGCGAGAAGTGATGAATATACATATGCAAAACAAATTTTAGCACACCTTTGATCTCGACTGTTTCGCTTGTTCACGAGATCAACGTGCACCGATTCTTAACATGCGTTTACCTTTATCTACAAAAATGAACGTCACAGCAAGCTTTTACTCTGCAAGCTCGCTTTTTGCGGTTGCTCGTTCTTGCTTCGTATTCATGGATGCAGAATACATAGATATTCCATTCAGGACTTTACATCTACGAGCTTGTCCACGATTGGTTACTGACTAGGGAATTTCTGCAGGGAAATGTTACTTTAAGTTTGGTTGGAAACGCGTCTGAAAAGTGACGTCATGAGAATATGTCTTCAATGACATATCGATATCTATCGATTGTTGTATATCGATGATACAAAATCTATATCGATAAATCGTATATATATATTTGAAGTCTCTTTTCTTATAAATTTAAAAAATGGTGTACATTAATACGTATTTATATAAATAAATGATAACTATTTATATTTTTATATCTATCAATTTCTTTGTGAGAATTCGCGATATTGGAATTATGAAATAAAGGTATAATATATAATATTTATCATTCTTCATGATTTTAGTATATAATTATATTACACATATTTACGATAATTGTTACATACTATAAATGATATGAATAATTTTAGATTTCTTTGTTATAAAATATAATTAAGTTCTGTTTAAACAAAAATATATTACGCACCAACAACTGCGATTTATTAACATTTTTAAAATATATATATATATATATATATTCTATATTATTATTTCAGAAAATATAATTATTAAATCTTTTTATTTTTTCATTTTAATCCCGACAAGAAACACACAAAAAGAAATCATTTTTTTTTAAATTTCAATCTTCCATATTCCATCAAGTATATATAATTATATTGTAATATTTTCTAATAGCAATTTTGATTATAATTTTTCATCATACAAAATTCTTTCAAATTCACAGTCCTCTAATTAATAAAAATATTTTGTCTTCCTCTATACGTCATTCGAACAATATACATATAATTTCGCTGGAATATTTAAATTGCCAAATAATTTCTGACCTCTCATTAATTTGTCACGTAATAATTAATTAATTTAAGTAATTGGTCATTAAAAAAAAAATACATAATTTCGCTAAAATATTTAAATCGACAAATTTCTGACCTCTCATTAATTTGTCACGTAATAATTAATTAATTTAAGTAATTGGTCATTAAAAAAAAATACATAATTTCGCTAAAATATTTAAATCGACAAATTTCTGACCTCTCATTAATTTGTCACGTAATAATTAATTAATTTAAGTAATTGGTCATTAAAAAAAAAAAACATAATTTCGCTAAAATATTTAAATCGACAAATTTCTGACCTCTCATTAATTTGTCACGTAATAATTAATTAATTTAAGTAATTGGCCATTAAAAAAAAATACATAATTTCGCTAAAATATTTAAATCGACAAATTTCTGACCTCTCATTAATTTGTCACGTAATAATTAATTAATTTAAGTAATTGGTCATTAAAAAAAAAATACATAATTTCGCTAAAATATTTAAATCGACAAATTTCTGACCTCTCATTAATTTGTCACGTAATAATTAATTAATTTAAGTAATTGGTCATTAAAAAAAAAAATACATAATTTCGCTAAAATATTTAAATCGACAAATTTCTGACCTCTCATTAATTTGTCACGTAATAATTAATTAATTTAAGTAATTGGTCATTAAAAAAAAAAATACATAATTTCGCTAAAATATTTAAATCGACAAATTTCTGACCTCTCATTAATTTGTCACGTAATAATTAATTAATTTAAGTAATTGGTCATTAAAAAAAATTGTCAACCAAGGGTAGGTAATGCAGACGTATCTCCACCCCTTCTGGTACAATCAGAGCCCTGTGCGAAGGGTAGTTCGGCGCATTTCGGCCGAAGGGCGCTTTATATTCACGAGCGACGAGGGCGCAGACGCGCGTCTTATGGATTTTACCTCCCTCGCGTCGACGGGGTGGCGTGCATAGAGGGTAAGGGTCCCGATGGCGACCTGGTGAACGCCGGAGGGAAATAGAGGGAGGACCGCGTTCGCGAAAGGGAGAAGGAGCGATGCGCGAATCAGTCTCGGAGGGAGAGGGAGGCGGAGAAGGAGGTGGAGGAAAAAAGAGAAGAAGGAAGGGACCACCACCGAAACGGCAGAAGCGACGGGTTGGGCCGGCCGTTTACAACAACGCGCGACCTGCCCGACATCGCGGGGATGAACAAGTCCGCGCATACCCTTGTATACGATTTGGCCGAGGGCCTCTGACATGTGACCGAGGACGAGTGTATTACCCGGGTGCGTCCGTCCGTCGAGCTGCGAGTTCCTGCGAGGACTTCGCGGTTAACCACGTGGCGATTTGGTGAGTCTTCTGGATTTTTGAGAGCTTTTTTTGGGGAAAAAAAAAAAAACACCCCTGGGTATATGTGTCTCGACGAGGGTGGGTTTAATCGTGATGGTTTTCATATTTCTCGAAGACGAATGAGACGTTTGCGTTGCACACATTTTTAGACGCTGAAAAAAAATTTATTGTGTTGGAATAAATATTTATTTAAAACTAATAATATTGATTTGATGTGAAAAATATTTATTTTTGATATAAGAACGGCAGATAAATTTGTTTCAAATCAATGATTTAGTAGGTAGTTTTGAAATAAATATTTATTTATTTAATCATCTTTTTTTCAGTGTATCTTTCAGTCGCTATAATATTTTATTTTATCGCGTATTCATAAAGATTTATTTATGGAGATTTTTTTGAAAATTTAGGACATGTTTTGCATACGTATGTTTGTATCGAGTAATACATTTTTCTTTTAAATCGATTTTTTTTCTCGAGAAATTTAGAAAAAGGATTGATTGCCAAGTTAAGAATCAGTAAAAATAATGAATTAAACAAAGATCGTTTGCTGACAATAGGTGAATTTTTTAATTAAACTAATCTTATATTTATATATATAAAATTTTATATGATCAGTTTTACAGTACATTATAAAAAATATGTAAAATTATATAAAATAATATGTGAAATTACATGAATAATAAGTGTAAAATTACAATATAAATAATACAATTGTATACATTTTCATTATTTATCGTGTAATTTTACAATTATTATTTGTGTAATTTTACATATTTTTATGTGTATTATATTACATATTTTTTTACAGCGCATTTTGGAAATTATTTAAGATGTGTTCTCTTATCGCGTGCTGTTTATATCGATCAATTTTATAGGTAGAAAATATATAATGAAACATGTATTTTCAGAAAATACGTATAAATTTTGTAAGTATATACAAAACTGTAACGTTTTGTATGTATGTTTGTACACATATACTGTAACGTTTGCAGAAAACTACAAACTTCACGTTGTAATATTTCAGCGCGATATATTGATGGAATTTAAAACAGTGTTGATAAAAGCAATGGTAAAATAAATTTGATTTATATATAGAATTGTATAGATAAAGTCAATAGAAAAAGTATTCTTTCGTATCTAACAATTTATAACAGTCCAATTAATTACATATGTATATACGCAACAATTTCATCAAACTTAAATACAAGTTATAAGATTATTTCTAACTCAATTTATATTTAAACTTTTTATACAAAAATTCACAGAAAACAGTATAAAATATTTTTATATTATATATATTGCTCGGATAAATAATTATTCCCCAATATAAAAAAGGAAAAAAATTAATCGATCGCCGCTATTTATATAGGACTCTCCGTAATTAATTATGTCACTTAAAACGCTTAAATTTCTGTGTTAATTTTATAATACGTTGTCACGTAGAAAATCTCCGCTTTCTCATTTGAAAAAGAATTTTGTCAATTTTGCGACGCGGATGGCTCATTTCGTGCAGTTTCAAGCTTTACACGAGTTTGTCACTGATGGTCTCGTCGCATAGTTAAGGAAATAGTTGCGCTTATACATTTCGCAGCTCTCTTTGTCATCAGGTCTCTCTCTCTCTCTTTTTCTCTCGATCGTGCTTATACCCTTGGACAATATTTCTTTATTTCGCAACTCAACGTGGCTGTCGAGAAGACTATAACGTCGTTGTGAACTTTCTCAACGCGAATGCATCGAGCTGCACATTTCTAGAATCGGAAAATGTGTTTTAATATTTTATTACAATATTTCCAATAGATTGTGAAATAGCGGTAGATCAAAAGTGTGGGTTGGGAAACGCGAAAAGAATTTTATTATCGATAACCAAAGTAAAGTTTTATACGCGAGTTCCAAAAAAAATATAGTTACGATCACAAAGAGAGAAATATTTACTGATACTGGGGAAAAGCTATAAATGAGTGAAAAATGTTTCTCTTGAATTTATATTTCCATCCTTCTGCGAAGGCAAGTCCGGAAATTAAAATTTTACTTTAAATTTATGCGTCTGAAAAAATCGAAATAAATATATTACGCGGGGAAAAATGCAGGAAATAAAGAAGAGTACGAGAGAAAGAAAAAAAATGTTTTGTTAATGTAACGAATGCAATTGCATCTTTGCGCATCTGATCGAGGGATGAGACACGCAAACGCGATGAGAGACTACCAGAAAAAAACATTGACGTTTTGCGCGAGAAGTTCAATGCTTACGATCGCGTGCCGTAGACATGAATGTTATACCAGGGGCATACATACATACATACAGGGTGTCCCGTATC